TGTGTTATCTCTCCTTCCAGGTTTGTTGGATTTCTAACAAACATGTGGATCTCTGAATGTTCATTTTGCTTCTACTAAAAAGTATCCAGTTTATAAGCTTTCTTTCTTTCTTTTCATTGTCCACTGTCTAACATTAGACAATGAATTGGTCTATGGCCCATCTAGTTTGGCCAGCCTAAAATCTTCAAGAAACTAAGAAATATGGCGAAAAAAAATCTGGCCATTTTCATGGTTGTTCTCTAGCACCTGGTACTTACAAAAATGCTATTTTGTTGTGCTAGAGTCCATATATTTCAGCAGCATATTAGCAATTGTTGGAGGCATCATGATAAATGCCAATCACAGAATTGGAAAAGCATCAACAATATTCCAGTGATGCTTTTTCCATATCTATAGTTGATACTGCAACAAGGATTTGACTTTACAATACCATCATTCCACTGACAACAATCTATGCAACCAAAATTTGGAAAAGCAACACACAGCACACAAGCTTAATGTGTTCCGTCAGTATTGTCTATGAAGAAACTTTGGGGTCATTTTTGATGACCATATTTCTGATAAGATTCTACGAAACACTAGTTATCAGACACCGTGAGGTGCTCAGGATACATTTTGTTTAATATAGTTTACAGCTGCCAGATCCCACTCAGGCGTCCACCGAAACACTATCATATGGATATCACTGGAAGGAAGAGGCATATTCTTCAGGATGAGGTGAAAAACAAGAACTTGGAAAATACTTGGAGAAATGAAGTCACACAATTGCAGCTGATCAAAATCTTTGTAAAAAGGTTTGTTGCCCAGTGTGCTGTATTGCACAGGACCATACACACTAAGCTATGTTTTGTGATTTTGCATTTTTCTTCAGCTGTTTTGTTTCTTTGGGTGAACTCATTGTCCCAAATATGTTACAAGAACCTCAATTGAAGAAGAAGGACCTGGGAAGAGAGAAGCTATATCATGTCCCATACCTCACTGTTGTGGAGCCTCATGTACTATTTTTCTTCAAAATTAAAGCATACCAGTAATACTATTACAGTCAAGCCAGGGATATCTTCAAAAGATGTATCACCCAACTCTTTTCCAGTTTGGAACTGCTTTCTTTTCTGTTTTATCTGAGGTGGAACTTGAGAAAGTTGAGAACAGCACATTCAAATTAGGAATTGAATCAATGTTTATTAAATAACTTGGGTTGTAAAGAAGTTCCCTTAATATTGCAATATCTTCATAAACTATCAATCCTTGCCATTCCTGGCACTAAATATATACTTCCCATTGGAATATAATCTGGGAGGAGCTGTCTTGTATTACTTTGCTTCCTGTGACAGTTCTTATAACCAGTTATCTCAAGCTTGAAGGGAAAAAATCACTGGGCAAAATTATCCAAATATGCAAATTCCACTATTATTTTGTTGTTAATAAACCATCATGGACTGGATTCACATATCATGCTAAATTAGTTTTTGAAAGATGGGTTTGTTGATGGGTTTTGGAATCCATTAACCACATCTCATTGTGGGGTAGAATTGCCTCTGTTTTTGTGCCATTTAGGGAAAAAAATGGCAAAGACTTTTCACTAGGTATTTTATAGTATTAGATTTTTAAAATATGTTTTTAACATGTTGGTTTTTATTTTGTTATTAACCATGTACTGCATGTCAATCTAAAGCAAAAGATATGTTATCAGACAGTCAATCAACTAAATAAATAATCTTGTTGACAATCTTATCCAGATGGTAAAATTTTGGCCTGCTGAATCCTGTGTTCAAAAACTACCAGTAATAATTTGGAGATGAATTGATGCAAGTTCTGTAAATTGTGATAGATCCTGATTTCACCACTTATATTACAAGAAAGGGGAGAAAACTGGTAGAAAAGAATTCATAATTCCTAATGTGTTTTAGGTTCAAATCCAAAGGCCTTTTCTCCTCAGCATGCACTTCATATGGTTTTTTTCTATTACTTTTAATCAGATGGACAAGTATGATAGCTGCAGAGCTGGCATGCAGTTTTACCCTTTCTGACAGGAAAATGAGTAGTTAAAGATAATTTGGAAGCTGTTCCAGCTTGTTTTTTTTTTTTTTTTTTTTTTTACCACCCACTGCAAAGCTGCAATAGCAATTATCCAAAATATTCTAGGGAGGCCCTTGTTGGCACATTGTTGCTCCACAGGCCAAAATGGAGCACTCCTATTTAATTTCATACATTACAAGTTTTCTTTACAAGCTCAGAATACTGAAGCTCACTGGCTTAGCAGAATTTGAATACTGGCTAAATGCCACTCCAAAGAATAGTATTTTGCAAAAAGATTGTGTGGTCTGAATACCCAGGAAAATGATATACTTTCAAAATCCCACACATTATTTTTAAACTGCAAAGCCAACACCCAGAAATTTTAAAAGCTGTGGTTTATGACAAAGACATCTACAAGCTGCAAGTCTTTTTGCCTAGAGGCTCTAAAAACACTGTCATAAAACAATAGCTTTGAGCTATTTCTTGGCTTTAGATAGGAGGGGATGAAAGTGGAAAATTGCTGGAACATATGCAGACCAATCCTAGGTGTTCATAAATAAGTCCCACAGAATTCAATGGGATTTATTCCCACACAAGCCTTTTCGAATTGCAAATTTATACAATGCTTTCATGCACAATACAGTAAAAGGGCACCATCAGCCTAAGGGAAGAAATGCTTTATAAAACTTCTATATAATAATATAAAACACCCTGAAGTTATTACACAATAAGAATTCAGGAGTGGAGTAATTGCAGCATGTTGTATCAATAATTGACATGTGTCTTTAATTAATTAATTAATTGTATTCAACAACATGTATAACATACTGCAGTTCTAGAAAACTTTGGGCAGGCTACAACAAAGTTTAATTAAGTATGTTGTAATATAAGAATGTAGGTATAGTCTATTTAAATGTATTCATATTGTACAGCGTGTCCTTTTGGAAAAACTTTAGAAAATAATCACCTACATACATTTACTCAGAGAATGTTTGACTGTATTAAATAAAGCTTGTTCTCAGAACATTGTACTTAGAATTGATGCTTAATTTTTGTCCTGGTGCAAAAGTTCTTTTGTTGCATCACATTAGATTAAAACAAGTATTAATTATCAATGAATATATAAAAGTTATACATTGTACCTATAAGTTTGTCTTTTAAATTTATTTCTAATTTACTATCATAAATGGACATTCAAACCTGTGGACATCTATCTTTATGTGGTAAGATTTTATTTTCCAATGATTTGAGTCACTGAACTTTATTTCTGATTTGATTAAAGGTATTTTTAAAAATATTATGCCTAATATAACATCCCATTCTGTGTCTGAAATTATGCTGCAAAAAACCCAGAATAAAATAAAACAACCTTAAAGATAAGATTTCTTAAAATCAACCATTAAACAGATAACATACCAAAATGAATCAGTGGAATCAAAAAAATTTTTAAGACTACCCAAGCACCAAACTCTAATGTATCTTGAAACAAATTATTGGAATATAGGTGCTCTGACTTCAGAATGACCATCATTTGACCTTAAATGTCTGGTTACCTAGTTGTTATGGAAACATATAGGTTCGTATTTGCTCTGTACACTTAATCCAATCAGCCACTAACTTAGTCAAGCAGCAGAACCCTGCAGTAGTTTTGCAGCACTCAACCACAGTAAATGGCAATTTGAGCGTAGTAGACAATCCCAACTACTTCCCCCCACTAGAAAATGCCTAATATCCCATGAGCCCTTCTAGCAGGAGGGCACCGTAAAGGCTTTATAAGTAGGGTAGTATAACAGCCCTTTCCCCCATTGGCTGGGCTGGAGCAGTAGATATTTTTCTACTGAACATGGTCAACGTCAGACATTGTGACATGTATTTTGGTTTTCAGTCTTAGCAATGGAGTCTGTAACCAAGTTGCTTGTTTTTTCAGCTCTATTTCAGCTGTTTTTCACATACAGACATGAGCATGGGTATATGTGTGTATGTATGTAGCTATATATCTGCATATATTTATATCTATATATGGATTAGACCTCTTCTTCATGGCCATCTTGTAGATTCCTTTGGGTCTTGACTATGAAGAAAAGCATATTAGTATATTGTAATTTGTAATTACTCCAGTAAAGGCTGAGCTTTAATCTACTCTGTTTATATGAAAGTGGTCCTCTCTTTACAGGTTTTTTTGGGGACTGTTTAAAGGCATTATTGTTGGATACTCTTAGCTTCATTTATTCATTTATTATAGTTATATAACCACCCATCTTATGCACCATGACCCTAAGCCATGATGGCTCACAAATAATAAAAATAGTAAAAAGCAAAAAAACAATGATAAAAGGTCTGATCTCTCACAAAAGCAATACACTCCAATATACAGGTATTCTTGTTTAATGACCACAGCTGGAATCAACAACTCCATTGCTAAGCAAGATGATTAAGTGAAGCAACATGTGCCCACAACTTATGTTACTGGTCGCTTCTCATTGACTGTTGGAAACTAGCTGTGAAGTGCACACAAGTGGCAATTGCATGACGCTGCAATGGTTGTAAACGCCTGCTGGTTGCAAAGCACTGGAATCTTGATCATGTGACTGCAAGGACGCTCTGGCGATCATAAGTATGAGAAGCAATTGTAAAGTTTCTTTTTTCATAACTTTGAATGGTTACTAAGTCAGACAGTGATTAAGTGAGGACAACATGTAATTCACAAACAACTTCACTGAGCTCAAGCCTTACTCTGCCTCATCTCGATACTCTGAGTACGTTTGCACAGCCACGCGCGGTCAATCCCCAGGAAAAGGTTAAAAAAAAAGGCTTCTATGTAGGATGCCGCTTCTGAGTCGTGACTCTTTACGATTCTACATCTATGGTGATTTCCTTGCGAAAGTAGAATAGCTCAGCCACCAATAGCCTTTCTTAAAGACCCGATGCCGAACGGAAAGGTATTCTCGCGGGATTTCATCGGCTGCGACGAGATGGTGGTAGGAGAGCGGTGGGCAAGGATGGTTTGGGGCGATAAAGCGAGCGGCGGTCAGGGAGGTTGCGAATGGCTTTTTCTCAAACTTTAAAGAGATGTTTTAGAGCAGAAACTTCCACCAGGGGAAGGTTATTTCAGAATATTGATCTTTTAAGGCGGAGATCCTGGCAGCATGAGTTTATTACATGTATCTTAAATGTCTTGTTTTGCTTCTGACATTTTAAGCAAAGGTCTCACAAGTCTATATGCATAAGTATATTTGTGTGTGGACCTTCAATGAAGTAAGTTAAAAGATTGGAGAGCAGTTTCTACCTCGCCTAAGTGCGCAGCTTATATACAACACATTTATTCAGATTGATTTTTTTTTTCAGAAAGAAAGGCAACTTGACTCCTAATCTCCCAAAATTTATGCTTGAGATATCCTAAAAAGGTTATATATGAACATGCAAGGGTTATCATATCTGACTGCTAAAGTCTAGAGAACCAGTAGGTAGCTGTGTGAAGTTAAGATTTTTTTGTGTCACTTTGTCAAAATGTTGTGATATTTGGATGATTGCAGGTGGGAGATGGTAGCTCAAATCAGCTCCCACTGCTTTTTAAAATTGCCTTCCTTTGTCTAATGCATTGTTTCTTAACCTTAGTGGCTTTAAGATGTGTGGACTTCAACTCCCAGAATCCTTCTGTCAACATGCTGGTTGAGGAATTCTGGGAGTTGAAGTCCACACATCTTAAGCACTAATCTAATAAGACAGACATAATGAGGTGTTGTTTTATATACAGTACTCTAAGACAGCAAGAAGAAGCCAAACAGGAAAGCTTTCTGTGATTCTTTAGAAAAGTTTGCACAACTCATTAAACCTGAAACAAGCCAATTTTACCTTCATGTGTTGTGCAAGCTACTCATATGCTGAAGTTTATTGTTTAGGTATTTGGAAACCCCAAAATTGCATTAGTTTAAAAACATGGTGAGCTGTATGTGTAAATGATGTGCGAGAATAGGAATTATGTTTTAGGATTGTGTCTATAGATGAAACAGTATGACTGTTATGACCAAATTATGATAACGTTGCATGAGTTGCTGGGGTTTAGTTTTATTTTCATCTCACATTCTTTCCCCACATAGTCTATTAGCTATTGTTGAATAGATGGCATGTAGTTTACTAGCTGTTGTCTCACAGTGGCAAATTAAATACAGATTGACTTGGTTAGTATTGGATGGGAGACCACTAGGAAATTACAGGGCTGTGGGCAAGATTGGAAAGAAAAAAATCAAGAAGGCAGCAATGCCTTAAGTACTTATACATTGCTAGCAAGTAAACAGAAGGCTGTGTTGCTAAGAATTGAATTTGGTTTGAGGGCATCTTCAATTTATTAATCAGTGAAGTATTTATAATTGTCTAGAAGTCTTGGTAGTAATGAGATGAAGCAGGGTATTGACAAGTAATAGTAAAATGATTTTGTCAACAGCACAAAACATTAGTTGGCTCTAATTTGGCAGATTTTGCAGTCATGTTTATAAACAATCTTCAGGACAATCTTCTGTGTAAAGAACCCTCTTTGATATGGGATTTTCTGGATTTTAATAGCAAAAAGTCTGCAGTTACTTTTCTTTCTCAAATTGAAGTATTATTGATTGATATGCATTGTATTTGCTATGCCTTTGCCTATGTGTTTTGGATTTTTTAAATTTTGGTATGGGTTCTTCTTTGATTATTGATGGCATTTACTGATTGTTCCTTTAAGTTTCCTCCCCTATTTTATAGGCATTTGGAAATATATTCCTACATGTAATTAGGAACGTATGACTTCTACAGGTGAGTTATGTTTATAAATTACCTTGAAAGGAGAGAATAATGCTGGAATCAATGTTTCAATCTTATGTAAGGACATAAGAGATCAAAAGTAAAATTGCCTCTATTGTAGGGGTGTCAAACATGATTGGCCCTTTGCAAGTTTTCCTACCAGCCTCTCCATTGACTTTTCTTATCAGAAGCCTGACCATGGGACACTGGGACAGTTATAAATGTGTGCTGATTGTGAAGTGCCCAAATGGTGATCACATGAGATAGCCATATGTTCAAGGACTGATGGTAAAGCTACTTTTTCAGTGCTGTCATAAGTTTGAACAGTCACTAAACAAGGCAGTTGTTAATTGATTTCTTTATTTCTTAAACAAGAGAAAGTTAGGATTCTCCCATTGACTTTCTGTTCTTTAACAAGATAATTCTTTAAAAACTGAACAGAAAAGGAATTGGAATTCAAATTTAGAAATAGAGCAGTTGGGGCTGAGGATTGGAGAAAAAAAATCCAGAAAAAAGTCCCCAATACATCCTTATAGAAGAGTGAGTTGGATAGCGACTTCCCATTCTAATTCCTCATCCATCTTCTTTGCCAGTGATGTGATTAAGAGAGAAGCTCTTCATAAAGTGCTGGGAAAAAAAATCCGGCAACCGTGTTTTTGCTGATATGGTCTTTCTAACCTGGAAAAAGATTAAGAGGAATGTGATGGAACTGTATACTATTATGGATGGAGTTTTATTACAGATGTAAATCATTGTGGGCAGTTTTAAAGAGGTTAAATATATTCAAGGATTATAAGGTGGTAATGCTTACCTCTAATATCAGATGCAGCAGCCTTTTCACACCAATTGCTAGGAGCTATAAGCTTCAGCATCCATATTGTATAGAGAAAAAATAGTGGTAAGTCTTTGATTGGTGATCTGGTACAGTTCTTAATGTATTTATTCAAAAACATATTCATGGGAATTTCCACGTATAAGAGTTGTTATTATATGACATGCAATCTTGTCTTTAATTTTATTCTGTGGCATTTATCCTTTGAGAGTTAGCCTTAGACTATTCTTTAAAATAAGTTGAAGATTATGCAATAAACACAAAATGATAAATATGCACTTGCCAAATTGACAATTTGGCTAATTTAGTGGTTTATTTATTCGAATGTATATCTTGCTTGAGCCTCAGTACGGTTAAGGAGAAAAGCTCAGTACTTTTTTATACCCATTTAGATTCCAGTGTTATTTTCAGCAAGGATTTCTTTCTAAGTTTTGTTGCAGTGCACTGCTTTTTGTTATTTTCTTTGCATGTTTTTTTAACAGACCAGTGGCATGTTGGAGATAGATGTCTTGCACCTTTTCCTGAACTTGAGAAGTTTTGAGATGCTACAGTAATGTCTTATGAAACAAATAGCAATGGGAAGTGTTTTGCCACAGTTTCCCTTGGGAAAAATGAGGAAGAGAAAATACTTGCAACCAAACTCTCGCAGATCAAAACAAATAAAAGTACAAAGAATAATTTAATATTGGATGATGAAGATTTGGAAAAGCCTTATTTCCCAGACCGAAGCCTGCCGTCACCAACAGTTGCCTTTGAGCTGTCCAACAATGGGGAAGAGATCCCTTATACCATTAATAGATACCTACGTGATTATCAAAGAGAAGGGGCCCAGTTTTTCCATGGACATTATGTTCGTAAAAGTGGGTGCATTCTTGGAGATGACATGGGCCTTGGGAAAACAATCCAGGTATTTCTGCCTCCTCTTTTTCCTCTAAAAGCCCCGACAATATTTGTAAAGTAGAATAAAACATCCAAATTATCTATTTAGAAAACTACATTGTGTAGGTCTTCACAGTGCAATTCTAAGTAGGTGAAGGTATATGAAATGAAGCAGTTGAGCGTGAGTAGAGTTTTGTTTTTCTTTGAGTTTTTTTGCTATCTCATGTAGTATATTGTTTCTTGCATTATTTTTGATGGGGGATGAATTAAACACAGCAGTGACAAGTTGGCATAGGCTTTGGGAGCAGCCTTTAAAATAATTTTTAGGTTTTTTTCTTTTTCAAAAAATACCATACTGTTTAAATCAAGTAATTGTAATCTTGTTTTAAAATTTTCTCAGGGACTTAACAGGAACATTTTGCAGAGGAAAAAAAAAGTACTTACATTAGTTGATTATTGATGCTTGTATTGTTTTTAAGCGGCAGCTTTGATGAAATGTTGATGCCTTAGTTTTTTTATAAATCAAAACTTTACTTTTTTCACACTGATCAGTATTAGGGATTTTGAATCTTTGACTATTTTGGCTTTTAAAAGCCATATGGAATTGATTAAAGTTTGATAATGATGAGAAAGTTGGAAGTATTTTTTTTATTTTTTGCACTATACTGATTTTTCCATCCTATTTAAGATGCCAAATAAACCCAGAAAGCGAACAGTTGATGAGAGTGGAATTTTCTAATCACAAGCTAGGAAATGTATATAATATAATATAAATTCCATGTCTTTTTTTAAAATCAAGGATGGTTTCTGCATGCCTTTTTATACTACCTGTTGGAAATATAATTGCATTCTTTTCTGGATATCTGTCTTCAGTATGTATTGCATCAAATCAGTATGTGGGGAAAAGCTGTAACTGTTGTCACAATGGAAAAATATATTGCCTCTCAGAATGGTAACTCATGTCTAAGAGAGAAATAGTACTCTATTCTATGAGAAATTTATTGCATATTGATTTTAATTTACAATTTTATTGTATAATTTATCACTCTCAGTTTGCTTTGAACTTTCTATAAATAGCTTCATTGCCTGATTTTGTAGGAAGCTGTATTTATAATGCAAAAACAAAATTTCTGTGACAAATAACTTTTATTCAAAATAATTTGAACTTGGTTGTAAGTTGAAAGAAAATACACATATATTTGCAGGGCGAGTTTCTATTTGAACGTACACATTTTTAAATGTGCTCACCTGATTGAAAGTTAAAAGGCTGGTTTAAGGCTATTTCATGTTATGAACTCAATTATGAATAATAGTCCTTTTAAATGGTACAAGAGATGAAAACCAGCATACTTGTGTAGTAAAATTAACATAGTACGTAAACATCAGTCCTGCAAATGAACTCTCTTCAATTGGCTTCTGTATGAATATTGGTTATCTTCATTTTTTTGAAGACCAATCTTAACATTGTTTTGCTATTTGTTCCGGATCTTGGATTTGATTGATGCAATTATATCCTTTTACCATTATGCCCATTATTAAAATCCCACTAGTTTGTATTCTTGATATCTGTGGATTTCAAAATAGTTACATTGCCTCTTTCTGTTTTCTTTGAACATTTCCACTGTGCTTTTCCCAGGTTATTTCATTTCTGGCTGCAGTGCTAAAGAAAAAGGGAACACGTGCAGATATTGAAAATAATATGCCTGATTTTTTGCTACGAACGATGAAAAAAGAAATGTCATCTGTTCCAAAGAAAGTATGCTTTTAATTTAAATACATTTATATTTGAGTGTCTTGAAAATGGAGCATAATTAATCTTTAACTGGAAAATGAATGAACTGAGCAAAATAAAAGATGATTTGTAGAGAGGAATCTCTAATCACTGGGCTTCTACAATCTAGATGTAGATGCAAAAGTTTGATTTGTCCTTTATAATAACTTGAAATAGAAATCGCTTTGTAGGAATGATTAAATTTGCTTGGAAAATAGTGTTTATTTCTAGTAAGACTTGAAGAGCATCTAATGGAATTCACCAGTTGGCTTGAATGGATGTTCTTGCACTGTGTTTTCACTTCAGGTGGGCAGTTACTGGCTATGTCGCTTTCAAGTTCTTGTTTTCTAGCCTACGTGTATCCTAAGTCTTTTCTAAGCTGAGTGGGTACTGATTAGGGACTGCATGTAATGCTTTCTTCTTTGAAAGTTTTTTTTTTCCAGTAGAAAAAGACAAATACTAAGAGATAAAAATGTCAGACATGAAAGACGGTGTGGTCCACACATGAAGGTTCAATTAAACTGTTTTATTGGTAAAAAGCTTATTCATGGGAATCTTCTCAACTAACATTTAACATCTGCTCGGAGTTAGATAAGGAACAGCTTAATTCAAGGGAATTTGGACTAAGACTTCTTATGAATATGTAGGGATTCTAGGCTTATACTTCTTTTAATCCCGTTCCCAGGTTCTGCCACTCCTTCTCCTACAAAAAAATTAATCATTGATAGAAACAAAACAAGAAAATAAACATTGTGTGCCTGCATAAGCAAACATAAGGCAAAACTGATTGATTGATTGATCGATTGATTAAATTCATATGCTGCCTGATTCCCAGCGACTATGGGCAGTTGAAATAAAAATACTAAACATCTACATTCAATATTTATTTTCAGATTACATTAATAAATGTAATATATTAGGAAAACTTTTGCTAATATATTTAATAAATGACAATTAAATTTGAATACATTTAGTGTTTATTATAAATTTTTACAGCTCTGTGTTGCATTAATTGTTCATCTAAAGCAGTGTTTTAGATTTTTAAATACTACTGAAGGATATTTTAGTTTTCTAGTATTGCAAACCTGGCAGCTAATATAAGGAATTGAATTGAATCTTACATTGCATAAATGTATACATTTATACAGTTATAACAATAAGAGTCAATATACTGTAAGAGATTGATGATTTGTTTCAGTTCCTTCAGAATCTTTCAACCAAAAACCTGGCTAATTGGGCATTTCCAAGAAGTCAATCTCTGCCCATTATTTATCACTACTGGTACTAGTGTGTAAAGCTCTTTGAAACAAGCTGTTTTGACAATTGGATTTCCCCATTTTGTGTATAAAATGCCCAAGCCCAAATATGAAACAGCTGTTTCGAGCATTTTAGAAGTGTTTTGTGCTTGAAAGATAGTGTAGTTAATTCAAGTTCAAAATACTTTCGATATGTTTCAAAGCATTGCTAATATCCCCAAATATTTGAATACCACCATTTGCAACTGTACACAACATGACATGGAAACTTTAAAATGTATATGGTACAATTTTGTATAATAAAATGCTGCCTAGGATTTATTTTCATGATTTCCTTTTTCATAGTATTTCTATTAAAGATTACAATTTACAACCATAAAAATTAAAACTAAAAGAAAAAAAAGTACAAAAAAGAGAAAGAAAAATTATAAACTAATTTTAGCTTTCTAAAATCAAAGTTTTACAGATAGTTCTTTACCCAAAATTATTGTTGCTATAATGCCTTTGTGATCATGAAAACAAAATGTGGGTGCTTGACCATATAACTGAGATGCTGCAGTAGCTCCCTGGCCTATCCTTCCCCATTCCACCCCATTAGATTCCTTGGGCCTACTTCTCACTTGCCTAGGCCCCTTCAGGTAATGGGCCTGCTTCACACCCCACTGAGTCCCACACCTTGGGCCTACTTCCCACCTGACTGGGTCCCTACAGGTCTTGGGCCTGCTTCCCATCCCATTGAGTCCCACATCCTTGGGCCTACTTTCCATTCAGTTGGTCCCTGAAAGCCTTGGGCCTGATTGCCCCTTCTCCCCACTCTCACAGTTTGAGCCACTTAACTTTTTCCAAAGACCACTTTTGGTAAGAAGCAGCCAGACCATTATGGAGACTGTGCGGTGGGTTCCAGAAGTGGGCATCAATTTAGGAAATTAGACTTAAATATAAGGCATTTCATTATTCTCAAGGTTTTGGCAACCCCTAGGTTCAATGGCTCTATGCAGAATAAATATACTGAGGATTAGTTTAACTGACATTAACTCTGGCCAATCTCTTTTCTTGTTTGATTCAAATTTTCTATTGTTTAGTTGTTCCTGTTACTTCTCTTGAAACTGGGGAAATAATTAGCATCCTGATTTAACGCATCTGAGCTTGCTCATGCAAAAAGGGCTGCTCATACTTCAACCAGATACTGAGTTACTGTGGCAGAGCTCTGCCACTTTTGAGTGGATCCACTGTAGGCAGCAGTGGAAAGTGGAGCTGAAAGAAAAGCTAAATTTGGTTGTATTAAAATTAAAGTTAATATGGATGTTCCTTACCTATCAATCATTATTCCTGTGTTGACCTATTCAAAATCATATTTCAATACTAATTTAGGGAAGGATCTGGACGCTGTTCCCAAGTCTTCCAGGGACCATGTGTGACTCTGAGTTCCATATAACAGTAGTGTCACTCTGTGCTATATAGCACTAACTGTTAAATTTTAAGATTTCTGTTGGGGATTGAACTCCCCAGACTTTTTCAGTGTGAAAGCTAGTTGAATGGTTTTCATTTCTGCTTTTGTTTCATTTCTGCTTTCTCCCCTCCCCCCTTTTTCTTGCACTGTACGTGGTTCTTCGTTGTTTTTAATTTATGGGGGGGGGTTGGGTTATTATATATTTTATAAACATTTCAAGATGCTTTTGTTTGAGAGGCAGAAGAAAAATAATAGCAATGAAATGTCTTTGTGTTCCATACAAATATTATTACAAAGCATTCAGTGCCAAACAGAGGCGTTGTGTTTGAGACATTATGGTAGATATTCTTAGGCACTGATCTAACAAGGATTTATAATAACTTCAATATACTGTAGATGCTAGTAACAAGGGCTGGCTTGAAACTTATGTGTTTGTGATTTTGGAGGGGGGAATCCCAATTGGTATTCATGTCAGATTTTCTCTCCAAAGTGCCTTCAAGAAATTGTTTTCTTGATAGATCTTCCCTGGTCTCTGCATGTTCCTCTCCTTAACTTAAGCAGCACAACATAAGAACATGTATTTGGTTCTATTTCTTTTATATTAAATTAAGTTTTATTAGTATAGGTGTTCCATACAGTGGGGCAAAAAAGTATTTAGTCAGCCACCAATTGTGCACCTTCTCCCACTTAAAAAAATGAGAGAGGCCTGTAATTGTCATCATAGGTAGACCTCAACTATGAGAGACAAAATGAGCAAACAAATCCAGACAATCACATTGTCTGATTTGGAAAGAATTTATTTGCAAATTATGGTGGAAAATAAGTCTGTGGTCAATATCAAAAGTTCATCTCAATACTTGGTTATATATCCTTTATTGTCAGTGACAGAGGTCAAACTTTTCTGTAAGTCTTCACAAGGTTGGCACACACTGTTGCTGGTATGTTGGCCCACTCCTCCATACATATCTCCTCTAGAGCAGTGATGTTTTGGGGCTGTCGCTGGGCAACACGGACTTTCAACTCCCTCCAAAGGTTTTCTATGGGGTTGAGATCTGGAGACTGGCTAGGCCACTCCAGGACCTTGAAATGCTTCTTACGAAACCACTCCTTCGTTGCCCGGGCAGTGTGTTTGGGATCATTGTTATGCTGAAAGACCCAGCCATGTTTCATCTTCAATGCCCTTGCTGATGGAAGGAGGTTTGCACTCAAAATCTCACGATACATGGCCCCATTCATTCTTTCCAGTACACAGATCAGTCATCCTGGTCCCTTTGCAGAGAAACAGCCCCAAAGCATGATGTTGCCACTCCCATGCTTCACAGTAGGTATGGTGTTCTTTGGATGCAACTCAGCATTCTCTCTCCTCCAAACACGACGAGTTGTGTTTCTACCAAATAGTTCTACTTTGGTTTCATCTGACCATATGACATTCTCCCAATCCTCTTCTGGATCATCCAAATGTTCTCTGGCAAACTTCAGACAGGCCCGGACATGTACTGGCTTAAGCAGGGGGACACGTCTGGCACTGCAGGATCTGAGTCCCTGGCGGCATAGTGTGTTACTGATGGTTGCCTTTGTTACGTTAGTCCCAGCTCTCTGCAGGTCATTCACTAGGTCCCCCCGTGTGGTTCTGGGATTTTTGCTCACCGTTCTTGTGATCATGTTGACCCCATAGGGTGAGATCTTGCATGGAGCCCCAGATCGAGGGAGATTATCAGTGGTCTTGTATGTCTTCCATTTTCTAATTATTGCTCCCACAGTTGATTTCTTCACACCAAGCTGCTTGCCTATTGCAGATTCAGTCTTCCCAGCCTGGTGCAGGTCTACAATTTTGTTTCTGGTGTCCTTCGACAGCTCTTTGGTCTTCACCATAGTGGAGTTTGGAGTGTGATTGTTTAAGGTTGTGGACAGGTGTCTTTTATACTGATAACAAATTCAAACAGGTGCCATTAATACAGGTAATGAGTGGAGGACAGAGGAGCCTCTTAAAAGAAGAAGTTACAGGTCTGTGAGAGCCAGAAATCTTGCTTGTTTGTAGGTGACCACATACTTATTTTCCACCATAATTTGCAAATAAATTCTTTCCAAATCAGACAATGTGATTGTCTGGATTTGTTTTCTCATTTTGTCTCTCATAGTTGAGGTCTACTATGATGACAATTACAGGCCTCTCTCATCTTTTTAAGTGGGAGAACTTGCACAATTGGTGGCTGACTAAATACTTTTTTGCCCCACTGTATCTATGTCACCATTATTTCTATGTTGTCCTGTTCAAAATAATATTTCAATAGCAATGTGGAGAAAGATTTGGAGATTGTTTTCAAAGTTTCTAGGGTCCACATTTGATCTTGTGACTTATTTGTTTGTAATTTTTATTTCTGTTAGTAGTAGGACCCAAAAGAATAATTCTGGGTTAGGTGTGGTCCGAAACATCTACAGATGGTATAATTATGAAAACTGCTTTCTGTTGATAGGATCATTACTTGCCAGTGACGCAGTGTAGGGCCAACAGTAACTTAGTAAATCATCAGTTTCTAATGTTGACTGCCGAAATGTAGGAAAATGAATTGTGCATTTGTTGGGTTCAGCTCATGCTGGTAGGTGGCATGTAGCCTGATAGTTCTGTATTATTCAGGGCTGCCATAACACATACCCTGGACTCCATTTTCAAAAATATTCTTATATCTACATCTTAATAACATACAGGTAGTCCTCAACTTACGATCACAATTGAGCCCAAAATTTCTGTTATTAAGTGAGACATTTATTAAGTGAATTTTGAATTTTGCCCATTTTATGTCCTTTCCTGCCACAGTTATTAAATGAATCAGTGCAGTTGATCAGTTACTAACCTGGTTGTTAAGTGAATCTGGCTACCCCATTGACTTTGCTTGTCAGAAGGTCACAAAAAAATTAATCACATGACCCTGGGACACAGCAGTGGTTATAAATATGGACCAGTTGCCAAGCATCTGAATTTTGATCACATGATCTTGGGGAGGTTGCAAAGATTGTAACTCTAAAAAACGGTCGTAAGTCACTTTTTCCAGTGTCGTCGTAACTTTGAATGGTCACTAAATGAACTGTAGTAAGCTGAGGACTACCTATATGCTATATTTTTTAAAAATTATCTCTTGACTTTCTTTATTGCAACAATTGAAAACTATTTCATTTGAAAATCGTTAACAGTGAGAAAATTTTGTTCATCAGCAGTACTGTATGTTCTGTTTCAGATTTTCTTGATTGTGGCACCTCTTTCTGTGCTCTATAATTGGAAAGAAGAATTAGATGTTTGGGGGTACTTCAAGGTTATAGTTCTGCATGGCAACAGAAAAGAGCATGAGTTAAATCGAATCAAGCAGGGAAAATGTGAAATTGTGCTAACAACCTCTGAAGCACTTCGCCTTTATTTGAATGAGCTTAACAGGTAACTACATTCTGTAATGACTGCTACTGAATATGAAGCATTTTTTATATGAATTGGGGCTATAAATCCTTGAAAGAGCTAGAGCAGTGGTTCTCAACCTGTGGGTCGGGACCCCATTTGGGGTCGAACGACCATTTCACGGGGGTCGCCAAACAACGCAGTCCGCCATTTCCCCCCCCCCTTTTCCTTAGCTGTGCTACTCCCTTTTATTCTATTGGCTTTTGAAAGCCAATAGAATAGACTCTCTTGAATAGAGTCTAATTCTATTGGCTTTCAAAAGCCAATAGGAATTGTCCAGGCTGTCTCTGCCCTGCTGAGCCCGCCAAAAGTCCCATTCTGCAAACGGTGCTGCACCAGTTGAGTAGTCCTCGACTTATGACCGGTTGAGTAGTCCTCGACTTACGACCGGTTGGGGTCGCGGCATTAAAAAGGTTGAGAACCACTGATCTAGAGATAAAGGAAAAGGTATTTAAGAAATATAATCCTGGCTACACAATGTGTCTGTTGAAATCTATGTGACTTAAACACATGCAGACAAATGAAAATGAGTCGCAGAGACTTTCCTCATTCTCTCCTCCATACTCCTTAGCTCCATTTTTCTTAAATGGATTCAGACAATGGATTCTGTCCTGTTGCAACAGGGGGCTTTCTTCAACTTCACCCTGAAAGATAGAAATGTCAACAGATTTAAAATAAGATAGAATACATGGGCAAACTCTTGTAAAAAAAACATGGTCCCCAAAAGCCTACATAGATCATGGATCAATAATACTGTGAGGCAATGGATCCAGTTGCAATGCAATCTTGTACATGGGAGTTTTGGTAGTCACCAAATACTGCCATTGAAGAATGCCCTTTAGTAGAAGGCAGAGTTGAGAGTTTGCTTTCCAGTCCTCTTTTAGTGACTTATGTTTGTCTGTATTTTCATTTTAGCAACTGGGCATCCTTTCAAATAAAGCCCTATTTTTCTTCTTAAAAGTTGCTTATAGAATACTGTGGGCCTTTAAGCCTTAATTATAAACAAAGATATGGCTATCAGCTTAAACTTTTAAATGTGCTGTACTCTTTAAAATAGAGAAATGAAATGTTTATATGAGAGCCACTATGGTGTAGTGCAGTGTTTCCCAAACTTGACAATTTTAAGGCATGTGGACTTCAACTCCCAGAATTCCACAGCCAGCGTTGCTGGCTGTGGAATTCTGGGAGTTGAAGTCCTCATGCCTTAAAATTGTCAAGTTTGGGAAACACTGGTGTAGTGATTCAGGTGCTATACTAGCAGCAGAGAGATCCAGTTTTTAATTTTTCTTTAGATCACGGGTGTCAAACTGCCGGCTCACGGGCCGGATGCATCACACGGAAGCCGCGCCCACCCCTTTGCCGGCAATGGCAAAACAGTCCCAATACATCACACGAAGTCACGTGATGTCGTGTGTTTGACATGTCTGCTTTAGATAGAGAAACTGGATGGCTGACATTAAGACAGTCATTCAGCCATAGATTAGAGAAGTGAAAACTTATCTATCACCCTGCACTGGCTCAATGTATTAGAGTATGGTCTCTAATCTTCAGCAAACAATTCCAACTATTATTATATCTGGAGGAATAGGATGAATTCATTATGAGAAAATTAGTACTATACTAGCTCATTAAGACAACTGGAACTGAGGGAGAGACTTTAGAAAAACTTTTACCAATCCTTATGTTTCATAGCTTACACTGGTCAGCTGTCATTGTAGATGAAGTACATAGAATCAAGAATCCAAAATCTCAGATTACTCAGACAATGAAGGCTCTAACGTGTAAAGTTCGGTTGGGACTTACTGGGACAATTTTACAGAATAACATGAAAGAGCTTTGGTGTGTTATGGACTGGTAAGTGAAATAAAATTTAATATTACAAGCACAGATGGAGTGTTTATAATCCTTTTTCCCCTTGTTTATCTCTATGCACATCAGAGTTCTCATGTATTACGCGCGCCTGGCATTCACATGTCTTACAGATGTCTTTTACAGAGAATTTTGGCAAACCAGCTATAGTTGTCTGTGCCAGGAATTTATAGAGCACATATTTCCCATTGTGTGAGTGTGTGTCATGGAATTTAGAATACAAGCCATAATAAATGTGCATTTATTACTGTGTAATATGTGAGATGATTCCTTCAGTGCCTCATGTCATTGGTTTTAGGCATTTATAAGCTGCTTAACAATACGAGGAAAGAGCAGTTTAGAAACCCAAATATATGCCTTCTTCTTTCTATTAGGGCAAGGGTAGGCAACCTTGACTCTTTTATGACTCCTGGACTTCAACTCCCAGAATTCCTGAGCCAGCCATGCTGGCTCGGGAATTCTGGGAGTTGAAGTCCATGAGTCATAAAAGAGCCAAGGTTGCCTACCCCTATATTAGGGTGTACAGCACTTCAGATGTGATACAGAAAAGGTACTTCAGGGGATGTATAATATTGTGCACCTGTTGGAATTTTGTGAAAAACTTGCATTTTTTTCCCTGGGCTTGTACTGTAACTTGGTATCCCAGGAAAACAGAATTTTGAGTACCAATGTAGCTTTGTTAGTGTGGCATATATGTTTCTTAAGGCAGGAGCACTGCAGCAGCCATAACTTTGAAACCAATAAAGGAGAATATTTGTAGCTGAGGATTAAAATGAGGGGTCCTTAGTACTCTCTCTGAGCTTAATATTTTTCTTGCAAACATTTCTGCAAGAAACATCTGCCAAACTAGGTGACATCATCAGTGCTAATCCTTACCCAGTTCTCAGAGTCTTTCTGTCTGTCCAACACTGAAGGTGGCTTTTCACATATTTCTCATATGGCACATTCATATCTCATTTCGATTAAAAACACAAGAGATAAAGATATAAAATGTGAAATATAAAATGTAAGGTATTATAAACGTATAAATAGATATAATTTTTTGCTTTATTTGTTGCGGCCAGGAAATCAGCAAAGTCTCCATTATAGGCTCCATTTTGGCACTTTGTCCCTACATATGAGATGGTTTGTTTTTCGGGCCCACAGTCATAACTCAATTCAGTCACAATTTTTGCCTCATTTATAAAGGCTTTCCACAAAATGCACGTGATAAAGCATAAGAATAAACCCCAAAATCGGTCCAACAAATAATTAAAACTTGGTAAATCTTACGGCTGGTATGTGAAAGTTAATAGCTAATAACAACTCTAGATCTTTGACTCTAGAAGCCTGCTAAAATTAATATCCTGTATTAGTGCTTGATACACTAGAACAGGAGTTCTCAACCTTGGCAACTTTAAGACTTGTGGACTTCAACTACCAGAATTCCTCAGCCAGCAAAGCTGGCTGAAGAATTCTGGGAGTTGAAGTCCACAAGTCTTAAAGTTGCCAAGGTTGAGGACCCCTGCAGTGGAAAACAACAATTTTTCTCTTTCTCTTAGGGCTGTTCCTGGGCTCTTGGGTAGCGAAGCAAGTTTCAAGACAAAGATTTCTGATCCTGTAGAACTTGGCCAGCGGCACACTGCAACTAAGAGAGAGCTAGCCACAGGTCGAAAGGCAATGGCAAGGCTAGCTCAAAAACTATCAGGCTATTTCTTAAGGCGTACAAAGGCTCTCATCAGTCACCAGTTGCCCAAGAAAGAAGACAGAGTGAGCACCATTTATTAACTTTGATTATTCCTGTTAATGTGGATTTTGTACAATTTATATAGTAGATATATTAGAGCAGTGTTTCTCAACCTTGACAAATTTAAGGCATGTGGACTTCAACTCCCAGAATTCCACAGCCAGCATTGCTGGCTGTGGAATTCTGGGAGTTGAAGTCCACATGCCTTAAAATTGTCAAGGTTGAGAAACACTGTATTAGAGTAACCTATGTATGGAACTGCCTGTGTGTAGCTTTATACTCTGGGGGCAAGTGAGGCTGGAAATCTATGTCAAATTGTAACAGCACATTGGGGGGGGGAGACTGGAAAAAGACCTTTTCCTTGATTGCTGATTTAATTAATAGCAATAATTGTGATGTTTATCATTAGCTTCAGGAAAAACTGGGTTATGCTTCCTCTCAAAGGCTATGAGCAACCTAGGAGCGTATCTGAATCAACTACAAGAGAGGCTTTTTACAAAGTTTTGGAAGCTGTGAATGACAGGGAAAAATCAAAATCTTCTTGCTAGGTGCCTTTTTTTGCACTTTTTATCCTTCAAACCATTTCTTTCTAACATTTGGAGGAAGGGACTTTTCCCTTACAGAGAATTCTGGAGGTTACTGTGTGGGGCTTTATTATACTTCCCTAAGCTCTTCATATGCACCAAGTGAATGTAAGATAAAACTCATTATTATTATTATTTTGTGATGTTACCAGTAATATTCTTTGACTTGGAAGACAGAGATTTTTGAATCACTGAATGATAGATACTATCTCTGTGAAGGTAAAACTTTGAATAGCAATAGCAATAGCACTTAGACTTATATACTGCTTCCCAGTGCTTTACAGCCCTCTCTAAGCGGTTTACAGAGTCAACATATTGCCCCCAACTACCTGGGTCCTCATTTTACCGACCTCGGAAGGATGGAAGGCTAAGTCAACCTTGAGCCGGTCAGGATCAAACTGCTGAACTGCTGGCAGCCGTCAGTGAGCAGAAGCAGCTAGCGCTGCCATAGTTCTTAAGGGAAACTAGAGAAGGGAACAGAAATGTTTGTGGCATACATGACATATTGCTATATTCTGGAGATAGAGGGTTGTAACTTTCCTCCCATTTAAAAAAAAATCTGGATAGTACTTGCTAATCACTAACTATTTTTATGGAAAAGAGAGACACTTGTTTGCTGTTGTATTGAGAAAGACTAATGTCTGAGACAGGGAGCCTTCTTTGTAATGAATTCAATTTTTGATGAATTAATGGATGCATCCATTTCTATGACAACTGTGTGGAGATGGGTTGCTGTATCCTTTTTCCAAGATGTCTTTCCAACTTTTTATATAATCTGCAGTGCTGGGATTTTCTGATATTTTCCCATCAAAGTACTAATCACATCCAGCTCTGCTTTAGCTTTTACAAAATCGTTCATGGTCGACTAGCTGATGCTATCTTTTTGATACAAATGTCTTATCAAACATTTTTCCCATAAGTGCATTTTCAACCTTGTAAGGATTTGGTCTGTGTTACAGGTATATCATTAAACGCTTTGTTATAAAAGCAGAATTCCAAATAATTTTGTTTCACAGAATCTGGGTGAATTATTAGCACCTACCTTTGCCCTGCATTGTTTTCACACAATGTTCACACAATTTCTTTGTTATATTAGATTTCTATAGTGTTATTGAAAATAATGAATGGAAGAAACTAGGTGAAAAGCAAATCACTCTTGACAGCTGCAGGCATTCTGAAAATTACCCAAGTAATTGTTGCAGTTATTGTCCCTGAAAATTCAGAGGGCGTTGTTCTCTTCTTGATGACCTCTTTGAAGCAAGTAGGGATTTGGACTTTGATTCTTTGACATTTTGGGACATGAATCTAACATTCACATTGCTCATTAAAATCAACTTGTTTGTCTTTTTCATGGAAGTTCATGTCTTGAAATAGCTATTGATTGGGGAGCTCAAAATCTGCTCCTATGGAATTCATTCTTGATTGTCTGAGCTCTTTAGAAAATACTAGCATCTCAGTTTTCCTGGAGTTTCATCTTTATATACTTCTTTGAAAAATATATATATATATTTGCCCTCTTTTGGATTTTTTGAATGTTTGCATATTTTTGTCTCTGAATCTTACACTTCATGTGAATCTAGCAATATGGCAGTATGAAAAAGTATTTGTCCTTTTAGATTCAGTAACTGGTTGCATCAACTTTAGCTGCAGTGCCCAAATGCTTTCTGTAATTGATCGTCAGGTTTTCACATCACTGTGTGTAGGAATTTTGGTTCATCTCTCCGTGATCAAAGGCTTCAACTTATAACATCTGAGAGGTTTTTTTTAACATGAATATTCTATGTCACACCATAACTTTTCTATGGACTTTGAAACATTTATTTTTTTCTTCATTTTATAGATTTGTTTAGATATTTAAAATCACTTTTTTGCTCTATGACACCCCAGTGGTTCAGCCTCAATTAATGGACTGATATTTTCCTGGAGACTCTAATTAAGTGCAGATTTCTCGGTTCTTTTCAATAGTCCTGAGTCAGCAAAGCACCCCAAACCTTGGCAAACACTTCCATGCTGGAGAGTTAATATGAGGTTCTTATTGTGAAGTGCACAATAAGGTTTCCACCATCTATTCAATTTACTTATTGATGTAACATATGAAATAAGCTATAGGATAATGCTCAGATTTTTTTTCTATTGCTCAGATCATCTAAAATTCTTCTTTTCCAGTGAGTGAGACCTACCCAGAGTGCATTCAGATGGAATTTGGTAGTTAAATTTCTACAGTGGTGGACTGTTCAAAGTCATGAGCACTTTAAACGAAATATCTCCTTTGATTTTGCTCTTTGTGGCAGTCCTTCTATTATTCAATGTAAGATGTGTCATTATGTGGAAGTAAAGGAAAGGACTTGGGGCTCTTTCACCTTTCAAGAAGATTCCAAATACAATTTATGCAGGCAGATTTTTGTGAAAGAACCAAAAGTATGACTTGAAAAATAAGTGTTTGAAATAAACCCTTTGCTTTTCTTCTCTTTTCCACTAAATATTTCTGGAACATAACAATATTCTTATGAATGATTTTCATGCAGAAACATTCATTTTCTATCCAATATGCATAGGCTGATGGAAGAAGCATAGATGCATGCATGTATAATATGTTCAGTATCTGTACAAACTCAAGAATTAATTGAAGTTGCATTCTTTTTGTGCCTCTTTTTTTTTATAGTACAAAAGTTTATTGTGAATTGATAGATCCAAAACTGTGAGACTTTGTTTCCATTATGAAAGATGTATGTCTTTCAGTTGTCCTGTCTGGAATGTTTTGATAAATGTAGAAATACATTCTAGAGAACACCCAATCACACATTTAATAAAGATACACATTTGTCTGCTGCTCTTTCTTCCTTGTTTATATCTGCCTTTCAACTAAAGCTTGTAATAATGCAGTCTAAACTGTGTTTTCTAAAGAGAAGATTAACAGCAATGTCACTCTGTTGCCTTTAATCTAGAAGCTTTTATTTTATCCTATTCTCTTGATAATGTGAGTATATGTTCAAGATACCATTTGATTATTATAGCACAGCATGGTGCTGCTGCTTTGTGGGTGGCCTAAATGCAGGAGGGGTCTTAGAATATCTGTATCCTGCTGGTTGAGACCAAAAGATGTCATGGAGATGCCACCCATGGTCTTAAAGAGGAAGGATTAAGTATGTCATACCACTGTCCAAGAATCTCTCCCTCCTATATCAGCCATTCAGAATGTCAGTCTTAAAAATTGGCTGTTTTCTTTTATTCCTGCTGCCTGCATTAGTCTTTACAATAGTGCCAGGAAATGGCAAATAGATCTTTTAAGCAATTTAAGATGGTTGTCTTAGGGATTGAGAGTGATCCCAACAATTTATCTTTCACATTCTTAGCAGATTTTTTCATTTGCATATAAAGAGCTTGTTGATCATAATCTTCGGGGAAAAAAAATCTTAAAGCCCACCTCTTCAGTTTGCAAGCTCAGTACGTATTTTAGCTTGTGATATATTATTTGTGTTATTTTATTCCCCCTGTTTTGCATTTTATCTCAACAGACGGTATATTGTTATTTGACAGAGTTCCAGAGAACAATTTATAAGACTGTATTGGAGACAGAAGATGTGCAACTAGTTCTGCAGGCACATGAACCATGTAGCTGTAATAGTGGCCATAAAAGGAAGAATTGTTGCTACAAAGTAAGCATTATTTTTAAACTTAAGTATGTTTGAAGTAGAGTGACCATCCACAATAGTCCTTTGACCTACTCCATATCCAGCCTCTGTTTTTCCCCCCTCATAAATCTTAATGGGTCACAGAGTAGATGGAATAATGACATCCTGTACTGTAGATAAAATAAACACAAACAAGCTAATGGGGGTGGCAGGCGGCAATTCCCAGGTCTGTGTAATGCTTCTAAATTAAATTTTTTTAAAATTAAAATAGCACTGATTTGAGTTACCAAAACAGAAGTTCAATCACTATTATAATTACAACAATGCTAAAAAGTCTCTATAAGAGCCAGTCTGGTGACTGGCTAAGACATCAGGCTAGAAACTGGGAAATCAGGAGTTCTGGTCCTGCTTAGGCAAGAAGCCAGCTGGGTGACCTTGGGCCAGTCACTTTCTTGAAGCCCTAGGAAGAAGACAATGGCAAACTGCTTCTGAAAAATCTTGCCAAGAAAACTGCAGGAATTTGTCCAGGCAGTCTCTGAGAATTGGACACAATTGAAAGGAAGAAAGAAAATATATATTGGGTGGGGACTAATTCGTCTTTTGGTAAATAAATGTTTTGTGAACTGGATGCCAAATGTGTGTCTAATCATTCCTCTACTTTGAAATGGCCTCGTTGATTGCTATTGATTTACTTCAGGTTAAGCAGATGTAAATTATTTGAAAATGTTGTCTCAAAAGAAAAAAATAATCAAGGAAAGGCTTTGCGGTACACCTTTCCAAGCTATATTACTAAGATATAATAGAAACTGTTTTATTATTGCTCATCTCGTATGATCCATAAAATGAATAAACTTAATTTTTGTCATGTTTACCTCACTGGATCTACCACAACATAAATGGTCAGTGAATCATCACCTAAAAATCAGCCAGGCATAGCCAGGAAAGTAGTTATTTGAGACAGTTGTTGATATCATTGCTGGTCTACTGGAAAGCTATTGGATGAGGTTTTTTTTTTTTTTTGAGTTTCAGGTTAAATATGTTTCAGATACTCGAAGAAGAAGACTACTTTGAATTTTAAGCATGTGTTGTGGAATAAATTCCCAGGTGTTTTAAGGTTTATATCCTAACTTTATACAAAGTAAGCGAAGCTAACAATTGTGAAAGATGGGGCAAAATACACTGAAGATGCCTTGCATAGGCTTCAAACGTAGCCTATGGAGAAGAGGTAGAGGCAATATTTTTCCAGTGCCCAGCCATCATTAACATGGAGGGGAAAATGAGCTAAAAAGTTATTCTAGATATTTTTTTATGAATTTAGTTTTTGGATTTAAGCATCTGTATTGGCTGTTATGAAAGCCAGTTTGGTGTAGTTAAGGACATTGGGCTAAAAACCAGGAAGCCATGAGTTCTAGGCCTGCCTAAGGCACAAAGCTAGTTGAGTGTCCTTGGCCTAATCACACTCTACAAATCCTAACAAGGAGGCCAGGGCAAACCACCTCTGAAAATGTTGCCAAGAAAAATGCAGGGACTTAATCTAGGCAGTTGCCAGAAGTTAACACTGACTTGAATGCATCCCTGCATATACACACACATACATTGTCTGTTATACTTTAAGTTATTTGTTCTAGCCATGAAAGTCATATTCCTATTCACACTTCAACACTTAAAGCAGTGGTTCTCAACCTTTTTAATGCCGCGACCCCCAACCGGTTGTAAGTCGAGGACTACTCAACTGGTGCAACACCGTTTGCAGAATGGAACTTTTGGCGGGCTCAGCACGGCAGAGACAGCCTGGACAATTCCTATTGGCTTTTGAAAGCCAATAGAATTAGACTCTTTTCAAGAGAGTCTATTCTATTGGCTTTCAAAAGCCAATAGAATAAAAGGGAGTAGCATAGCTAAGGAAAAGGGGGAAAAAATGGCGGACTGCGTTCTTTGGCGACCCCCGTGAAATGGTCGTTCGACCCCAAATGGGGTCCCGACCCACAGGTTGAGAACCACTGACTTAAAGAAAGGTGATATAAACTATTCTGTAGACCATTCTCTTTTGTGAATTGATAAAACTGCATACTCCTTCATTTCCCATGCTCAGGAAAAGGGAACCATCATAGTTTAGTAGATGACTGGCATCAGGAAGCATGGACAGACTTCATAATAATTGGAGACATTGAAGCCCCAGACATTGTGATAGCCGCTGCTTCTGTAGATAGGATTTACACACCTAAGAACATACGGAACTCTGCAAAGTATATCAAAGAACTGACACAAGATGACAGAGATAGGGGGTGGTGTTAACAGATTATACCTCTTTGCATAACAGTGGCACATTTGAATAAACATTAAGCAGCCTAAAGTTGTTTAACAAATGGACTAATGAAATTGAAATGCATCACTCAGTCAAAAAGTTCCTAGTCCATGGCTTTCAAGCTATGTTTACAGAAATCATTTCTGATTCATTAGAACATTTCTAATTCTTCTGTGTAGCTTTATCTGTGCTCTGAACTAAGGTCTGATCTACTTGACTTGACTTGGGCAGCAAAGGGTTCTTATCTGCTCCAGATAAGGTAACATCCATGTTGGGGTTGCTATTTTGATTCATCACCCATATACAAGACTTCCTACAAATAAAAAGAAATTCCAGCACGAAAGAAATACGTTTAAACCGTAGTCACTTTGGGATGTGCTGTGCTTTTTATGCAGGAGAGTATGTATTTTATTTATTGTATTAGTCCACATAAAATATCTTGAACAAAGTACAATCTACATTCTGATTATAATCTATTATATCAGCCTAGATCTTGTTATGCCTTTCCCACCCTATTTTAACGTTTGTGTATAGAGGTGGCTTTAAGAGATTTAATTCATTATTTTTCAGCTTCATTAAGATGGCAGTTATTTCACTTAAATACATATTGAAATGTTTGTTGGGGGGGGAGTATAGTAATGGGCTGTGAAAATAACCTTGGGAAATAGGAGGAAGAGCTGCAGGTTAGATAATGCTCCAATAAGAGAAATCTGACTCTGAAGGAGTGATGAGGGTGGAGAAAGGGGAAGGGACCCGCTCCAGTTTTCTGGAAAGTAAAGGCAGGGGTGAGGAGAAGTGCTTTCAGACATGCAAGATTCTGTTACTGTAACCTTCAAATAAGAGTAACATTAATACTCATTGTTGGGGGGTGGTGTTTGGGCTACCTCAAAGGCTAACAGTATAGATCCACCGTCAGGTTATCTCTTTTTGCACATAGGAGGACCTTGAATGAGTAGATCATGATTTCAAAACACATTGTATTTTTTTTATGTTTAAAAGACTATTGGGATGCTTGCTGTTCATGAAATGAAAAGGAAATTGACATTTTTTTGCCTTTTTCAGATCAGTATTTTCCCACTATAAATTATAACAAAACATTTTAATTTGACATGCTGACATGAAACTTTAGAGGCAGAATATTGTGTATTTTTCTGTTCAGTAAAGGACAAAATACGTTTGTAATATTCTAGAATTCAGATTTTCTCCTCAATCCCAGAGAAAAGAAATCCAAACACTGGATTTTGTAAAATAAATATTTAATAGTACTTATAGCCTTATTTAAGTTCTCAAGTTTTCTGAATTTTTAAACTATTTATATTTCTACAGACAAATGCTCATGGTGAAACAATGAATGCATTATATTTCAGTTATTTGACAGTCCTTCGTAAGATAGCAAATCATGCTGCCCTGTTACAGACAGAGAACACTAGCAAACAGCAGGTTAGTTTTCTCAAGTCTTTGTTTTCAGCAATGATTTGAAACAGCAATCTTCTGGTAAACTCCATTCTTCATTTTATGTCTCATTCATAAATGAGACATAAATGTTAAAATTATGTTGAAATTATATTGTTTTTAAGGAAATATACTTCCAAGTCTGTAATAGATAGACTGTTTGAGTCTAGGAATACAAACGTGATTTTAGTGTCTGCCATCCCTATTCAGCTTGAAAGTACAGGTAGTCCTTGTTTAGTGATGTTCGCAATCATGACAGTGGTGAAAAAGTAACTTTACAATCAGTCCACACATTTATGACCTTCATGGATCTATAAAACAAAGGAAAGCTGAAGAACGATCATATGCATTTCACTTAATCGCTGCTTGGCTTAATGACTGAGTTGCCTATATTGCTCTTCCCAGAATCTACCGGTTTTTCCGCCTTTACTTTTTTATGGCAACAGGGACAGAACGCAAAGTTGTAAGGAACTGAGCAAGAACTGCCCCGTTAGTAAAGAGGCAGTGCGGTGGTCTCATTCCACTCCCTGTAACCTAGCAATCTCTTTGATACCTGCTGTGTGTTTTACATTCATTTATTTCAAAACAATCTTTCTGAGTGCAGTTTTCTCTAGCCGGTATCAATAGTTAAGCTACAAGCCTGCTCTTTTTTTTGCCTTCCAATAGAAAGAGGAAAAAGGAATGGCTGCAGAATGTCCAAAGGGGTTATGGAAGGCTGCTGCTTTCTAATTTCCCTTCTTTCTGCCTCGAAATATAAGAAGGGTATAGTAGCAGTCAGATCTACTACAAGTTTTAGCTTGGAAAAATCAGCAGAGGACACAGTTGCTATCCCCCATTTTCTCCTCTTCCTTTCCAAGAGAAGAGGGAAATGAAATTACAGCCACAACCTGACTGTTGTAGCTTTCAGTCTGGAATAAGGGGGAATAGTCATGGCTCCTGCTCCTTGCCCCAGCTCCTGCTCTCCTAGTAGTTAGAAAGCAGGCAAATGCAAGTAGATTAATAGATATTACTTTGGTAGAAAAGTAATAGTGTTCAGTGCGCCTTTGGTATACAGCCATGCAGGCCACATGACCGTAGAAAATGTCTTTGAATAATGGAGATGAGCATCACACCCTAGAGTTGGACACAACTGGAGAGAGAAGGAAGGAAGGAAGGAAGGAAGGGTAAAGAATTGATAGTTAAGACCACAAATAGGAGGAATTTCATGAAGATATTCTGGAGGAGCAAAAAAAAAATGATGGTCCTGGAATGAGAAGTAACAATTCAAGATATGAATATATCTATATATTGGTAGAATGAAACTGAGATGGATATATGAGATTTTTGAACTATGGGGAGATGTAGACTAAAGAAATAGGCTAAATGTGAGGACACTTTTAGCCATGGAATTTATTCTTATTTGTCCTTTTGTCACTCCAGTTCTCCCCCCCCCCTTTTTTTTTCCTTTTAGCTTATTTAAAGTAGAAGGAATGTCTTTTTGCTATTGCTACTGTTACACAAATGAAAATCCCTTAGAGACTGCTCATGTTTTCAATTTTTCCTTGCACTAAATTTATTTTTTCCACTTCTTTAATTTCAGCTATTAATTCAGCATTTTCTTTTGATTGATTTGTATTTTATTTTAGGAGGCCTACATCACAAGAATCTGCAGCCATGTTTTTTCCAAGTTTCCTGATTTTGTAGACCTTAGCAAAAATGCTGCTTTTGAAACTCTTTCAGATCCAAAATATAGTGGGAAAATGAAAGTAAGTAAAAGAAGAGAAAGATGGAGAAGAGCTGTTTTCCAGTACATATTTCTTTTGCTTGCATTCAGCACACCATTTGTAGAAAAACCATAATGATTATAATAATTATGATTATTACAAAACCATCATCATTGACACTTTTCTGAGGAATTTAGTCAAGAGTTCTGCAGTTTGGAATCAGGCAATGCAAATATCAAATCTCTTTCTTTCTACCTGTCTGGAAGGAAAACAACCAGAATATATAAAAGTACCCTATGATTTCTGTCTTCCTAGAGTTTGCAGTACAGGTAGTCCTTGACTTATAACCATAATCAAAACCCAGAATAGTGGTTGTAAGTCATTGCAACCATAAGTCGAGACACTATGTTATTGGTTCAAATTTTTTGATATTTTTTGTGGTGGTCATTAAGCAAACACATGGTCATTAAAGAAATCCATTTTTCCCAATTGGCATTTCTTGCCAAAAACTGGAAGTAAAGACCAGAAACCTACAAAAAGAGTTACAAATCACAATGCAGTGACCACAGGGTGCTGTAAATTACTGTAGAGATTAGCCAGTTGCCCAAAATGTGATCATGTGACTGTGTGTATGTGCAGCCATTGTAATTTCAGAAATTATTTTTAAGACGTTATGAGGAGGTCCACTATAACTCTGAATGGCTGTTAATGATCTTGTAGTATATGTACACAGTGATGTAAAAGCAGCACCAGCAAATGAGTAGTAGTGAAATGAGTGGAGAAATTTTCTAGGTATTAGCAGCCAGGCATTTCAATATCCACACAACAAAAATGCAAATTATTTACTGGTTTGCTTTCACCTTGCAGGCAATTTTTGTTCAGAAAGGGTGTTCCTATTTCCACCTAAGTTTTATATAGTCAGTATTCTGTATTTTTGTAAGGAATGAACTATTACAAGCATATTTTAAAATATGAAATTAGTAGGACACTAATAAAATGAAAGCTTTAATCGGGTACAATTGCTCTTAGGAGATTTACTTTATTTTTTAATGAATCTACAAAGCTTTACCTGAAAGAAAGTTATGAAAATATTACAGAGACAGCTTTTAAAATTAGATTTGAGTCCAAAACTCAAGAACGTATTGCTGACTTCTGTAGAGTTAACTTACATCAAGGGCCTTCAAACTTGGCCCTTTTATGACTTGTGGACTTCAACTTCCAGAATTCCTCAGCCAGCGATGCTGACTTACATGAACAAATCAGTAACTGAAAAATAGAACTGAAATAGGTATCTTAAGTAGCCAGGATAGCGCCAAGTTTATTTTTATGAATTATTGTAATGCATTTTCTAAATTATTTCAGTAATCCGTCACGTTCCTTTATGTTGGAAAATATTTTCTGTGTGAAATAATAGACCATCTCTGGTATCTGTTAAAAATAATTCACAAAGGCAGACTTTTAAGAAGTTTCTTCAGTACCCTAAGATGCAGTTCATCTCAGCAAATTCAGAATGTTCTCTGATCACCAGTGCTGTCCTTTCATTGTGCTCTTTGTAACCTGTTTGAAGGAAGAAAACATTTGGTCATTAGAGAAGACGGGTGAGGGACTCCCAGGGATGAGGGAGTGTTGGACTTAGCACAGTGATGGCGAACCTTTTAGAGACCGAGTACCCAAACTGCAACCCAAAACCCACTTGTCATCAGGTGCTGGGTGGGTATGGCCCATTGGGTGGGCATGGCCCATTGGGTGGGCGTGACTGCGGTGGTAACAGACCGGGTGGGACTAAAAAGTTCAATCAATCAATTCCAACTTTGCAAGATCTTTTTTTTCCCCGCAAAAAGTTGAAGGCCTAAAGCGAAAAGGTTTTATAAAACCCAGCTGAAGGCCTAGGACTGGGGCAACGGTGTGCGTGGCCACAAAGAAGGCTCTGAGTGCTGCCTCTGGCACCCATGCCATAGGTTCGCCACCACTGACCTAGCAGATCTGCAGATATTCCAGCAGTGTCCTTTTGTTCCAACTCTGTTGGAGGTCCTCAGATAGAAAAGAATGGTTTTTATCAGAGATGGAGGAGAAGGCCCAATGTGAGAGTTCCCTTTCTGATATCTGAGCATTTTTCTCACACTCAGAGAGACAACCAGTACAATCCAGGCTCCTTAGGATTGCAGTCTTAGTAAACTAATTAAATATGATTATTGCCTGTAGACAAAGATCAAATAATGAGCAAATCACAATGTTATGTACCTGTGGTTTGTGCCTTTCACATTGTTCCTGGAGGATGCTATTTTTGTTCCAGGCATTTTCTTTTATTTAGTATTAAACAAAGCCCTTTATTACCATAGAGAGTTCTATAATAAAACATAGACAGAGACAATGCTGTCATATCAATTAGCATTGGCTAGTATTTCATAATATTTGGAGTCCTGTGATTGTAGTTATTTGAATGCAGGCTCTTCTACTCATTAAACAGGATGGGATTCTCAAAATGTAGGTCAGAGGCTCCATAAAGACTGAAGGAATTTGAGGAGCAAGGTGAAGAAGGAATATCCCGCTTTTGAGAAGACATTCACTCCTTAGCAATGGGTGCTCAAAAAAAAAAAAAAAAATAGCATAGCTTTAGTTTTTATCAACTAAAGGTATGCTAATTTTTTTGAGCACCAATGGTTAAAAAAGATTAAATAGATTGGATGTTTTTTCTTTAATTTTTTATTTTATTCAAAAGGTTAAAATTCAAAGGGAAAAATGTAACAAAGACAAAATTAGACAAAAATATTTTAAAAAATTAATTAAAAGGACAAAGAACAAAAACACAGATTATCCTCCCTACTTGAACACTGATTGCAACAACAATATTGCAACAATAATAGCTTCCCCCCTTGCAAAACAGATCCAAAATTTATAAACTTCTACACCTATTTGCAACCCAATCGATCTGTCATTCTCTCTCTCTCTCTCTCTCTCTCTCTCTCTGTGTGTGTGTGTGTGTGTGTGTGTGTGTGTATGTGTGTATTTAAAAAAAAAATTTGGATTGCTAACAAAGAATTAAGGAAGACTGGAATAGCTATTTCAAGCTAATTAACTCTCATCAGCCAGACATACCCTTCTGAGATTCGAACCTGGGCTGCTTGCACATTAGGCAGCTATGTTGACCTCTAGGTCAACACAGCTGAGTCTACATTTTACTCTTTTTTGATCCAATTTGTGGGAGAAACTGGAAGCTTCTTTGATCGATTGGTGCTTACTATCTCGTATTCATATATCCACAATGGTATGCCCCTAAAAGTCAGATGCAAACTCCAAAGTCATTAATCAAGCACTATTGCAACCCAAAGGTTGAACAGAGCTTCTGTTAAATTTCTCATAAATGCTGTGCTGGGTTTCGTATTCCCCTCCCTCTGCATCCTCCCCCTACCTCTAGTCAAAGAACATGGATAGATGCAGTGTGAGTTGAGACCCCTGAAGGACTCAAAAGATCATAAGGGGTGGTGACTTTGCTCAGTACTGAAGAGAGGATCATCTGGAAATAAACTTTCATAAAACCAAGTTTATGGCCTTTGCCAAGAGATCAAAGGCACACTTCTGACATATACCTGTGACATACAAAGAGAACAAGGTTGAGTAACTCTCATGCTTTTAAGTGTGATCTTCCATGCTTCTGGCTCCAGGAAGCTCACAGCAACTATGATCCCCCAAACACTGAGGAATATACTATTATTACTTAAAATTTATCATAAATCAAAATGCAGCTTCAGACTTGCAGTCCTTACACTATCTGAAGAAAGGTCATGATGAAACTTCTTTAACCATTTTTGCAAGAGAGGATCATCTGGAAATAAACTTTCATAAAACCAAGTTTATGGCCTTTGCCAAGAGATCAAAGGCACACTTCTGACATATACCTGTGACATACAAAGAGAACAAGGTTGAGTAACTCTCATGCTTTTAAGTGTGATCTTTCATGCTTCTGGCTCCAGGAAGCTCACAGCAACTATGATCCCCCAAACACTGAGGAATATACTATTATTACTTAAAATTTATTATAAATCAAAATGCAGCTTCAGACTTGCAGTCCTTACACTATCTGAAGAAAGATCATGATGAAACTTCTTTAACCATTTTTGCAACTTAATCCCCTTCCCCCACTGGCATTTGTCCAAATTCCATAAAACAGATATCTCACTGTTTGTCCTAATGCTATTCTAAGTAGATGAAAGTGCAGTATGGAGTAGGGATGTTGATACTAATTTTTTGGCCAAGACAGTGTTTACCCCTATGAGCTTAGCCTCACTAATGCTGAAGGTAGGTCTCAGTCCTCCTGAAAGAGAATCTGGCTAGACAAATTATCACTTGGATTCTCTCTCCCCCCCCCCCATTTACTCTGTGAACAGTGTATAATGGGGACACACTACCAAACTGATTTAAGCCAAACTCTAAACTTTCCGACCATGGAAAACCTAAAGTATAGAGCAGCGGTTCTCAACCTATGGGTCGCGACCCCATTTGGGGTTGATCGACCATTTTTCGGGGGTCGCCAAAGGTGGCAATCTGCCATTTTCTCCCCTCCGGAGGCGCCGCCGTGCATGTGCGCTGCGCATGGGGCGGTGCCGCGCATGCGCTCCGCGCATGGGGTGCCGCTGCGCATGCGCGCCACGCATGGGGTGCCGCTGCGCATGCGCGCCACGCATGGGGTGCCGCTGCGCGTGCGCGCCATGCATGAGGGGCGCCGCGCATGCACGCCACGCATGGCCCCGCCCCCATGCGCGGCACGCCACGCATGCGCATAACGTTTGTGTGACGGGGGTCGCCGTCACACAAACGTTGAGAACCGCTGGTATAGAGTAATATTAGTTGCATACTTTAAACAGCTAGAGGGCCCTAATAGCACAAGGATCTTTATTTTGGCTTGTTGTGGTGTCACCACTGCTATGATAGATGAGAGACATAGGAAGATCAATAAGTTTGCCCCTGGAATGCTGGTGGGCAATTGGTATCATGAAGCACATCTTCCTGTGTTGCTCATTTTAGATAGATGCCCAGAGTACCCTTCCTCTCCCAACTATTCACTAGGTTTATAAGCTTACAGAGCAATTCTAGATCTCCCTACAAATCTCTGACTCAACACATAGTATTGCCAAATTCTTGGCAGCATTGTACAAAAATGATCAGGAATTGATAGCCAGCCAGAGCTAAACAGGCTTGATATATGCTATTACAATGCTGGTGCTTATTTCCAGAGATTTTGGTTGTCTAGCTTCTGTTGCCACAACTTAATTTTTAATTCATTTCTTTTTTGTAGGTTGCATATAGCACACTATCAACTTAACTATATTTTATTCATTATATGTAGTTTTCAGTTTTATAGCAGTTTTTTGGCTTTATTTAACCATCTTTTAGCTCTGTAGTCCTTGTTCTCGTATGTTCTAGATAACAGATTGTTTTTCTGTGATACTTGTTGATTCTGCTATATCTGTATTTTTATTTAAAGACCAAAATAAAGATATTGTATTATGTAAAGTAGATCTGGTAAAACATTTGGGGGTGAAGATTTAATCAATGTTATTTTCCATTGTTCACTTCCAGGTCCTTCAGAAGCTTTTAAATCATTTCAGAAAAAACAAAGATAAAGTGCTTCTTTTTTCTTTTTCAACAAAGGTGAGCTATGTGATCTTAATGTAAAACCCAGGGAATATTAGCATCTTTCACCAGTTACTGATTTCTACTGCTTAAAATGATTATGCATGGAATAATAGAGAATGAAGCATCTTCAAATGCTACAATTCTTTAAAGGAGAAAACCTTTTTTTACATCATACATTTCTACTCCGATAATCCCAAATTTATTCTTTGGGAAATGCTCTCCAAATGATCGTATGAGGTTTTCTCCCAACTTTTCTCAATACACTAAAATTTAGGAGTATTTATGCAAAATAATTCAGATTCAAAACCAATAAAAGGAAATACGAAGTAGGTATTAAAAAATGTGGAATGCACTACCATCAAATGTAAAGGAGCACCAGTTTAGATATGTGTAAAGGATAGAGTCAGTAAAATTTACTATGGCTGCATATTTCGCTTGAATAACATGCAGAATATCTTCAACTGCCAGAGGGTATTAAAAGTAGATTAGGCTCCTGTTTGTGTTTTGAGATCCCCGGTATATTATATTGTTGGCCCCTGTGCATTGCAGATGCTGGATTTATAAAACTTTGGCTTTGATTCAGCAAGGCTCTTCTTACATTCCTTGGTTCATGCAATAAAATCAATTTGTGTATATCATAATATGATGATCGTCATGTAGATATGATACATTTCCAGCACTGAACATTTTTCTACAAGAAAAATGAATGTTATGTCAATCATTTGTTAAGTATAAAATTTAATATTGAATCTGTTGGAAATAATCCCCACTGAACCCCAGGATAATTTTTCCCCCTAAACCATATATATATGATTGTGCTTCTAACCAAGCCCAAACACTTTGGTTTTGATGCGTGGAATTCCTGCTCTGCCGTTTTTTGGATCTTATGACATGGCAATCAAGATAAAGCAGTAATAGCCATGTCATAAGTCCCAAATGCTGCAAAGCAGAAATCCCACACTTAATTGTCTGGTTTTTACAGATTCTGATCTAAATGTATGTGAAGTTTCTGTATTAAATTACAACATTATTATAACGTTCTAGAGAGTGGGAAAATTTAAAATTTAATACTAATATAATAAATACAAACAATGGAAATGAGAAATATTTCTTTTCAGCCAGTATGTGTGACTTTGGATTAATGATGAAAAAAATGAGCTATTAGGAACGTGATTTGCCTGGTAGTTGTTTTTTAAACTGTTCAGTTACTGCTTTTTCCATTAGTTACTTGATGTTCTGGAACAGTATTGCATGGCATCTGGGCTAGATTACAGAAGACTCGATGGCCATACAAAGGCAGAGGACAGGATCAAAATAGTAAAAGAGTTCAACAGCATGGAAGAAGTTAACATTTGCCTGGTTTCTACAATGTAAGAATGCCATGTCTGCTTCTGTCTAGAGAGAAATGTATTGCAAATTTATTGCACTCTTGATTGAGCTTGCATTTGTCATCTCCTTGGGAAGAAGCAATAACATTTCTATTGGCTATTATAAAACTGGGAAGTAGACTTCGTCACTCAAAACTCTGAGGGCAGAAGTTAAAAATGAATCATGTTCTTATGTATTCTCTTGGTGATCATTGTTTTAATAGTATGGATATTCCCAAGAGTCATATTTTTACTTTTATTTTTAGTGTGTGTGTGTGTGTGTGTGTGTATGTATGTGTGTATGTGTGTATGTGTATGTATATATATATATACACACACACACACACACACACACACACACAAATGTCCATACACACACACACACACACACACACACACACACAACTATAATAAAGGTAAAAAAGGATATAGGCAGTGTTATCTTCATTTTAGATATCAAAAGGATTTTGCGGCTCCTGATGTTTTGTTTTTGGTGGGAAACAGGTCCAAGTGGCTCTTTGAGTGTTTTGGGTTGCCTACCCCTGCTTTAAGAGAATAAAATTACATACACACAAAGGTAAAAAAAGGATATATGCAGTGTTATCTTCATTTTAGATGTCAAAAGGGTTTCTCTCTCTCTCTCTCTCTGTCTCTCTCTCTCCCTCCCTCTCTATCTGCCCTTGGTCTGCCACTCCTCTTCCCCCACTCTCTTTCTTTCTCTCTCTCTTTCCTGTCTCTCTCTCTCCCTCCCTCCCTCCCTCCCTCTCTCTCTTTTTCTCTCTCTCTTTCTCCCCCCCCCCATCTGCTGCTCACCTGGCAAGCTTCAAGCTGTTGTCCAACAAGCTCAGGGGTAAGCAACCTCGTCTCTTTTATGACTCATGGACTTCAACTCCCAGAATTCCTGAGTCAGCCTAGCTGGGCTAGCTAGCTCTCTCCTACCCTTCCTGCTTCCTGCTTCCTGCAGAGACGCAGGAAAGGGAGGAGCTCCGCCCAGTAAGCTTTTCAGCTCCTCTGAGAACACTGTGAGTGCACTCTCTTTTACACATACACACACACACAAAAAACCACAGAGAGAGAGAGAGAGAGAGAGAAGCAGGGAAGCGCAATTGCCTCTCTCTGTCTCTGTCTCTCTCTGCAAAGGCAGAGGAGGCTGGGAGCCACAGGGGAAGGCTCAAAGAGCCGCATGCGGCTCCGGAGCCGCAGGTTGCCGACCTGTGTTCTAGATTCACTCAGAAATTGTATTGCTTCAAAACATTTGTAGAGAAATAATACTAAGTATACTGTTCTGATTTTAAAAAAGGAAAACCTATCACACGGTCATGTCATGCAATTTGATTCTCAGTCTGCACTAGAGATTGTAAGTTATCTAAATATGTCAGTAAGAGTTATCAGCATGGAATACACTTAGTTGCAGAAATATCTGTGGAGTGTATGTATATATTTAAAAAGTCAAGGAGATAGTATGAAACAGGTGATGAAAATGCCAGTTTTCCTTAAAATGCATCACTTCCACCTATTCTGATGCCTTCCCTGTGTCCTTGCTAAGTAGTTTAATGAAAATTTATAATGCACCATAATTGTTTATGTGTAGTTTAGTATAAAATTATAATGCACCATAATTGTTTTATGTGTAGTTTAATATAAAACTATAATGAACTATAATTATTTATGTGGTCTATTTTTGCCTAATTTAAAAATGGTGGAAAGGAAGCATTGTATGAAAACTTGAAGATGAAGAACATTTAGATAACTTTATTTCTTAAGTTTTTATTGATAACCAAAATGAACATGGATCTCCTGGTATCAAATGAAATGTAGGTTAACTATGTGGTAAAATACTTTTTTTAAAAAAATAAGAGTAATATATTCAATATAAATGTTAATTTTTCTCCACATAGGTTGGCTAAGAATGCAAACTTTATGTTGTTGGACAAGTTATATATCTTAAAGTCATTATGATGCTGTAAAAATGGCTGCAGTTTTCCCATCAGGATGTGAATTATGGAAGTGATTAGTCATCACCTCTAGCACACTCAAATGGTTTTGGGAAAATCTTGGAACTGCTATGAGTTTGTCTATAATGAAAATCTACATTGTATTTTTGTTTTTGTTTTGTAGCCTTAATTGCTGATAATTGAGAAATTGTCATTAATTTGTAAAGAGAAAAAAAATTAGAGCAGGACTACTACTGGTGTATGGTATAAATTGTTTTGCACTCCTTTATTTGTTCCTTACCATTTACATTTCTTTTCCTTGTTATAAAGGGCTGGTGGATTGGGTCTTAATTTTGTTGGTGCTAATATTGTCATACTGTTTGATCCAACGTGGAATCCAGCTAATGATCTTCAAGCCATTGACAGGTACATTCTAATATATTAATTGGTTAAAAAAAGTTTTATTTCTATGGTTGGGAGGTTCATCTTTATTTTGATCTTGAAAATAATGATTTTGCAGAGCATACAGAATTGGCCAGCGGAGGGATGTGAAAGTATTTCGGCTAATTTCTTTGGGGACTGTGGAAGAGATGATGTACTTACGACAGATTTACAAACAGGTAAAACTTTTCATTATATTTGCAGTCATGTTGGTTTCTTAATACATTGCTATGACTTGGCCCGTTTGTGGGGGAGGGGAATTCAACCAAATACAACTCAGTAATCTTTAGTTTGTTTTTATAGCTTTCGGATTAATTTAATTCTGATTCATAAAATTAAGCATTCCTACACTGTATATTATTAAGGAAAAGGAACTCTGCCATTGACCCAAATGCATTTTAATAAAAAAAAATCAAATTTTATTTTATTACTATGCCCACAATCACAACATATTTGTTGGGAAAGCCAAAGTGGCACAAGAAGTTATGGAAACTTTTAAGTCTCAACAATTCTTCAGCGGACAAAAGCACAAAACTCAGGGAATGTTCAGGCTCTGAGGTCTGTAGTTTTAAAGACACTCTTAGGTAGCATGTTGCAGATTGTGAATGCATTAGTCAAGAAGAGATATTGGCACTTAGGACAAAGGATGATGGCTGCCCCATCTCCTTCTGCTCCTTTTTCTAGCTAGTTCTGAAAACACAAAGTCTGTTAATCCTGAATCTGTTTCCAGCCACTGGTGAAGAATGGCATGACTTTGGCATGAATTTAAGAAATTTAATAGTCTTCCTGATGCCACCCTGTTACAGGTAGTCCTTGACTTACAACAGTTCAAAGTTACAACGACACAGAAAAAAGTGACTTAATAACCGTTTTTCAAACTTAACAACCATTGTAGCATCCTTGTGGTCATGTGATGAAAATTGGGATGCTTGGCAGCTGACTCATATTTATGAAGGTTATAGTCACGTGATCATCTTTTGCAACCTGACAACCAAAGTCAATGGGGAAGCCAGATTCACTTAACATCTGTTTTACTAATTTAACAGCTGCAGTGATTCACTTAACAAATAGTGAATAATAATAATAATAAATAAATTTAATTAATAAATTAATAAATTTCTCACTTGGCACCATAAATTCTGGGCTGGATTATGGTTATAAGTCGGGGACTACTTGTATATCCGCATCTGTAATGCCTTCTTAGCTCAGATGTATTTTCTCTTGATCCCCCATGGCTATCTTGCAAAGGCAGAAAAAAGGTGCAAGATCTCTAAAGGCAGCCAGTGGGCAAAGAAAAGTTGTCCATTTTCACTCTAAATATTGTCTAATAATAATCAAACTGCTTTTCAGATGCAAAAGCAATTCATGAAGCCATCAAGGATTTAGAGTGCAACAGAGGAGGAAGAAAGAAATCCCAAGTTCTGAATCTGGTTATCAAATGTGGTGTACGCATTTGACTTATATAGAATTACAGTATGCAGCTTGACAGATTGCCTCTGTGTTGTCAGATCTTGAAGTATATCCCTGCTGGCTATTCACTTTGTAATTGCAGGAAAGAGAAAGTGGAAAGGATGCTTTTTTGCCATGTCTCCAAGAGACTTTTTTCCTGCTGTGCTTTATAGTGCTCAGTCAATGCACATCCTGAATGTTTCATTTATCTGTAGAATAAAAGGGGAGAAAAAGAAGTTATTTTTCTTCTTCTGAAATATTCTTGTAAAGTGCAGGTACGGATTACTTGATCTCACTGCTGACATCTCTCATCTAGGATATTTACTGTTAACTATTAAGAATTTAAGGGTATCTGTCCCTTCTTTCTCTTATTCTGTCTTCCGGTTCCTTTTTTGCTCCTCAGGTGACATCCTAAAATGTCATGCCTCAACCATAAACGTGAAACATTCAGGCAGTCTGAATTTTGATCCTTCTAAATCAGACTTCTGATATCCTCCAGCTATGCTGGATTTCAACTCTGATCATCTCCAAGTAGTATAATCCATCACAGCTGGAGAGGAACAGGCTGTTAGGGGTAGTTTCCAGCGCAGACCACAGCAAAGAAAACTGCAGAATACTAACCCTACTATACTAACCATAGACATGAGTGCTATTGTGCTCACTAGGGTTCAGGACTGGGAAAAAAGATCACTGTCATAGAAGTTCACATGTCTAGAATCTACACAATATCTGAATTTGTGAAATATAAAGCTTTTAAGTAATCCTCAGCGCTCCCACTTTACATGGTGGAGGGAGAATAATTTGGGAGATTTAAAGTTGTGTCATGGTTATACATTTTACTGGATAAGATTATGCTGTCTTACATACATTTTGGCCGACACCCAATCTAAATACTTCTATATTTATGAGTATATTTTAGATGTAATGGGTGAAGTTGGACTTCAGTAAAATGTACGGATAGGGATGCTGTCTTTGCCGTCTTATATCAGAGGCAGGCAATGTACGATTCACCTGCTTCACATGCTCCCTTTACAAAGCTATTCCTCTCACAGACCACCTTAGATCAGAGCCCGAGAGATTAGAAGGAATTGCTCTGGACAATGGAAAACCAGGATGATAGTACATTGTGACCAATTTCATGACCTTTCTGTGACCTAGCTTAAATAATACTTACTTGATAGTAAGCAGGTGAGCTTTATCTAGTATGTTAATATCATTTGCTATTCTAGCTAATAAAATATTGCAGGGATGACGATGGTGGTGATGATGATGATGATGATGATGATGCACTGAACAGTATGTCTTTGTAACAGGTTTTTAATAGATTTCTTAATTTCTTATGTTATACCAGTGGTTCTCAACCTGTGGGTCGGGACCCCATTTGGGGTCGAACGACCATTTCATGGGGGTCGCCAAACAACGCAGTCCGCAATTTTTCCCCCCTTTTCCTTAGCTGTGCTACTCCCTTTTATTCTATTGGCTTTTGAAAGCCAATAGAATAGACTCTCTTGAATAGGGTCTAATTCTATTGGCTTTCAAAAGCCAATAGGAATTGTCCAGGCTGTCTCTGCCCTGCTGAGCCTGCCAAAAGTCCCATTCTGCAAACGGTGCTGCACCAGTTGAGTAGTCCTCGACTTTGGTTGGGGGGGTCGCGGCATTAAAAAGGTTGAGAACCACTGTGTTATACAAAATAATAGGAAAGATCATTCCGATCCTGTGCTGTATGTTAATGTGATAGAATAATAATAGCATCCGTTGGGGAAAATAAAAATATATTATTTCCTTGTTGAACATTCTGCTTGCTTTCAATAAACCTATTTTGGTACTGTGCATATTTCTGCTACATTATTGGCATGTGCTTTTGAAATGTGCATGTTGCTCTGTTTTAGCAATTGCATTGTGTAGCGATTGGAAGTAAAAATGCCAAGCGATATTTCAAGGCAGTTCAAGGATCCAGAGAGCATCAAGGAGAACTTTTTGGGATTCGTAATCTTTTCAGGCTTCAAGACCATGGATCCTGTCTTACAAAAGAGATTCTAGAGGTGCTGTGTTTTTATTTGGGCTTTCTGAATATTTTAATTTATCCACCCTATTATTTTTTATGTTGTTGAATAATACTCATTAGAAAATTCAAAAGTATGTTCACTATGATAAAATCACAAATTCTCATTGCATGAAAATAGTCCACTTTATTACAATAGCATTTTCCCTCATTCATTTAATTTTAACTATGTACATATTTTCCCTACTGGGAAATGTGACCACATAATTCTTTCCTTTATCTTCATCTTTATTATTTATTTTCTTACTCAAGATGTCAGCCACTCACTCAGTCAGCCTCTCTTCTGGGACATGGTATTACATATGCCTTGAATTTTTTTCTGCCAAATTTCTATTATGAGTGCGTTATAATCCTTAGGGCTGTGGGAATTTATTCTTGCATCAGACATTGAAATTAGAAAATTTAGGAAACTCGCTTACTTTGATGGTCTTTTCAGACCTTAGTCAATGTGCCAATTGATACTCCCTATTCTCTTTCCTTGAGCACAGATTGAAGTCAGATTTCTTACATAGGAAACAGAAGTCAGAATGTTTATACTATTAATATATAATTTAGTGACATCGGTAGAATTTGTAGACCAACTCAGGGAATGACTTATTTAAAAGTGTTTTGCTCTTTTATAGAGAGAAGGCCAAGTAGAAGCTGGTGTCATGACAGCTGCTACGTGGTTGAAAGAGGGATCCCGGCCTCGTGAGGTAGAAATACTAAATAATATCATGAAACATGTTGTATAATATTTTTGTAAATGTGATTTATAATATTTCCTTCTACAAATCTGAAGAAAACAGGAAGAATTAGAAAGAAGTATTAGGAATGTGAGGATATTGATATTCTGAATTCAATGCTTTTATATTGCATTATAATATACAAAGTTTATTTTCTAGTTCATTTGATGGGCTTTGAATCTGGTTCATGAAAAGATAGAGCTGAATAGATATGATTAGGGTTACATGGCACTGCTGAGCACAGCTTCAGTGGTACTTATAACAGTCAACCAGTGGAACAGCTTACCCCCAAAAATCGTGGGCGCTCCATCGCTGGAAGTTTTTAAAAAGAGACTGGACAATCACCTGTCTAAGATAGTATAGGTCCTCCTGCTTGAGCAGGGGGCTGGACTAGAAGAGCTTCAAGGTCCCTTCCAACTCTATTCTATTTTAAAACATTGAATAACGTACAGCCAATGAAGATGGTTCTTAAAAATTAAATAATAAGGGGTGAAGCTTACGATGTAACTATAGAGCTAGTGTAATAAACTGTACATTTGGTTTTTTTTGTCTTTTACTGTCTTAATATCATTATTGTCTTCAGTTCAAGAGTAGAAGAACATTTTCACCCACTACTAAAATTCAGAATATTCAGTCTAGTAATAGAACTGAGAATTCATAATAATACGTTGGCAGCAAGTTGCACATGTAGTTCCATGAAATATAGAGGGTCTGAGACAGGATTCCTATTAGAAAATAATAACTTTCAAGAGGTGTACCATTTGCAAAGTTTATCTGAAGTAATTCCCTTGACTTTAGAGTTTATATTTATATTTGGAATCAAGGGAATTATTTATATTTTGTTACATTCCAAGGCTTCATTCTAAAACGAAGTCTAGTACAGCTGATAAACAAGGTATGATAAATATATATATAGTATCAAAATATATCATAATATAGAGAATGTGGAGATTAGCCAAATGAGTGCATTTAAATGTTTATACCATATACAGTATTCCACTAATTTCTGCAATGTATTTCCTTAAAATTAATTAAACTAAACTTCTAATACTGTGTGTATTACTTACAACACTGGTTGAAGGAATAGGATTTGTTTTCTTACTGAGTTAGAAATGCCTCTATATATCTTTGATTTGGATAATTATTTTGCACAAAAACAAAAAAGAAAACATCTGTAAAGATTAGATAGTAGAAGCTATGATGAAGATTTGCTCCTTAGTGAGTAAATAATAGGTAGCTTTTTTTGTTGTTACATAGTCATCCCAAGAATTTGAATCGTTTCTAAGGATTTTTTTTCCCACCACAGTCCATACCTGCTGAATATAAATGTAGACTGAATGCAGACATACCCAATGAACACAAGCCATCCTACCAAACAGAATAATAGAAGTCTGTTTTTGATACTGTCACTTTTCTCTCCATCTCCCTGTGAAACTGCCAACATATTTCACTGTATCTCTCAACTCTTGAAGTCATTTTTTCAGGGAGCTACATGTGAAAAGAGAAATTAGAAAAATAACTCCTCTTCATCACTGATCTGCAAAACCAACCCAAGAGCTGATAGTCAGTGTATATCTCACCGTATGTTAAAATCATGATAATGGCTTTTAAACATTGACAATTAGTTTTGTGACAGCAATGTAGTTTTTAAGGGCTGATTATTAAGAGCGATATTTAATGAAATGCTTTCAATTAATGGCTTCTTTTATACAGGAGACAGAGTGCGATTATGAAGATCAAGATACAAAACCACTAGAAAAAGAAGGACTTGAGTCTTATAGTGACTTCAGTGATGAGGAGCATGAGAAAAATTCTAAGGTCCAAGCAATAAGAAAGAGAAATTACAAAGCAAAACATGCCATAGTTGCAGAGGGACAACTCAGTTTACTGCAGTGTGGATTTCCTAAACTTCTAGAAAAGAAAACTAGAACAGCTGAGGATGGCGGTTGCATCGGGATGTCTATTGATGAAAATGCGGATCACAGATTTATGAGAGGGCAATCCAAAGGAAAGGCCCAGATTGATGGTTCTGTGAAAACTGAGGGCAGGTACATTTCAGGATGTAAGAAAACCTTGCTGTCACAAATGAGTATGGAGAGACAAGAGAAACATGGTGAAATAGCGACTAGGGCTTATCCTGTTTTACCATGCTCTGAGGAAGAAAAGGATCGATGTAAAAACTTGTACAACTCAAATAAAGGTGGAATAGTTATGGACATTGAAGACAGCTCATGTGAAAGTGATACTGTCTCTCCTACCCAATTTCCTAATGGTCATGAATCTATTAAAAGATTTCAAGAGAAAGACAGAAACTGTGATCTTTTAGCTGCAGAAAAAATGCATTTGCTTACACCATTGCAAAAACATTTGACTTCAGAGGAGAGTTATGCGAGTGTTCTGCCTTTCAGTAAAATAAAACCATTTGAAAACATCCAAAAGATAACAGCTAGGAAAGAAGTAAGTGATATTAGCGACGAATCGGAAGATATTGAGATGTCCCTTTCAGGAAAGCAGAAATTAACCAGTACTGCGAAACAAAAACGATTCCAGAGCAAGGAAAGAAATAAGTCTTCTAAAACTGTTGTTCATAGAAACAGTGCAAGTAGGAAAGCAAGCAATGCTGATTCTCAGATTATAGAGGAATATTCATCAGAAGAAGAACATTTTCCAGTTAAGACATTTAAGGCTAGTAAAAAAAAACCAACACTGAAGGTCAATAGGAGTGGCATTCAAATTATGTCCAGATTCTCACCATATCTCAATTATCCTTCTATGACATTGAGAACACACGGTAATTCTAGCAGATGGCAGTCTTCTGTAAACAAAGAGTCGCCCTCAGACCAAAGACAAAAAGTAGGATCACTGGATGGACTTTTTGGTAATTATATTTATTTTACAAAGCATTTTTTTTCTAGAAAATTACCATTTTCTTCTTTTCTGTTGTCAATTTGTTATCTTCAGTTCTTAGACTTTCTTCTTGAGATGATAAATTCTTCCTAATCAGGGATTACACCTCTGTTATACTGCTTAAAATCTAAGATGCCCAATGTCGTCAACACAGGGTCTTGTGTTGCTTAGGAGAGGTCAGCTTTGCATGATTCCATTCTTCAGAGAGCAGGGATTCAGAAGGCCACGTTGAGCCATTGGTCACTGATAACAAATCGTTCTTCAAGATTTGATCTTGTTTCACAAGAAGCTACTGGAGGAGATCATTTAGGAATTTGCAACAATTAAACATAATATATTTATTGTAAATATTTATATGCTGCATTCATGAGGTCCTGCATTAAACCTTCTATACACGGTCAGCAAAACATATTAGGTGTTGGTCTTATGAACTAATTATATGTGGCCTGGCATAACTTCTGCTAAACCAATAGCAAAAGCCGGTAGAACATTTTCCATCAAATTCCTTGGAATGATGTCTCACTAGCATTTGACTGGCTGTCACCCAGATTCTCTTTGAGCAACTTGTCAAAATTAAGCTCTTCAGGGAGATTGTTTGGATCTTCATTCTGCTTTAGTTTTCTTGTAAACTGGTTGTGGTAATACTGTATAATCTTTATTCTGTAATGTTTCTTTTGTAAATTGCCAAGAGTCCCTACAGATTCAGTGGTTAATAGATGTAATTAATAATAACTTCTAAAATGTTTAATCTGAATATAGATTGGTGTTGGTGTTTGTAGATTGCATAGAATGTGTTGTTCTTTTCTATAATTGTTGATGCTGAAGCAGAAATAATTTTAATTGGTTCTCGCTAAGTTAAAATTGAGTATTATAAGAATGTTTAAGTGTTTTCAGTAATCTTATATTTTTACTGTGTTATGCATCAGCTTCATTAATAACAATTAGAATGCAATATTTAGTAATGATTATAATTTATGTTGGATCAGATGGCATTATCTAGTTCACTTTCAGAAAAGCTAAGCAAGTTGGACAAAGTTGGAGACACCACCCAGAAATCCCTGGGCTAAGGACTAGAGTGGTAAATTAAAAAACAAAACACTTGAAAGAAGACACTTCTGTATTGTCCCCTAACAACAGTGTAGTCATATCCGTGAAATCATTATAAGTTAAGCTCACTACAAGGCAAATAAAGCCTTTTTCTTTACTAATGAAAGATAAAAATTTATATTCTTTCAAATTGCTAAATATTTAAAATTAGAGATTAAAATGTACGGCTATCTAGGAATTTAGAATTTCTGAATCAATAGTAATGAAAATTAACCTTTACAAGTCAATCATATTGCAATCTTAAATTACAATTTCTGTATTCTGTTTCAATTATCAGATAATGTCGCTGAGGTTCCATATGTTCATTCAAACCAAGATGTGGTTGGCCCAAGCAAAGCTGAAAATAAAATGAGTCATTGGGCAGTCCGAGATGTTTTTGAACTACAACAATTTTCCCAGCTCCCAGCAAACATAGCAATATGCAGAGCCAAGGTAAAATACCCAGTATTTTCCTTTTTAAACGTGGCTTTTCATTGTTGACCAAGGGCAGAGTGATCAAGGGCAGAGTTACTGGAAAATGGTGCCTACAGCACACTCTTAACAAAGTGAATGTTGCTATTTCTATACCAAGGGAGTGAGAAAATTATTATAGAAGTTTCACTGAGAAATACCTACCAGATGTGTCAGGTATGCCAAGGATGTGGCATATATCCTTTTGCTGTAGTTTTTAAAAACAACAGCAATCAGAAAGGAACCATAGTATGCAAACACCCTCCTCATGTTTATTTCATATGTTAAATCAGAAGCTTAAATTGATACGTTTATTTCTGTAATTTCCCCTTCTCTCCATCTCTTCCTCATAAGAACAACTTTAGGACTTGTGAGTTAAAAGGTTACGGCTACAGCAGAAGTCTTTTTTTTGGGTTTTGGATGAATGTCATATTTGATTCTTAAATTTGTATTAGTTGTCCTATTGCATAAACTTGACAAGCCTGTTATATTTGGTTCCTTAGTCTACAGCAGGCATGTCAAACTTGTGACATGACGTGACGTCGCACGATGTATCGGGACTTTTTCCCCATTGCTGGCAATGGGGTGGGCACGGTTTTGGCATGATGCATCCAGCCCGTGGGCTGGCAGTTTGACATGCCTGGTCTACAGCTTACAGTCCTTTCCTTCAAAACCCTGTTTCTTCTGTCTTCTTCATTTGTCAGCTTTCATGTCTCACTCTGACTTTATATAGAGTTTGTCTACTGCAGTGGTTCTCAACCTGTGGGTCGGGACCCCATTTGGGGTCGAACGACCATTTCACGGGGGTCGCCAAACCACGCTGTCCACCATTTTTTCCCCTTTTCCCTAGCTGTCCTACTCCCTCTTATTGGTGGCCACACCCATTTGGGGGTCATCACAACATGGGGAACTGTATTATGGGGTCACGGCATTAGAAAGGTTGAGAACCACTGGTCTACTGGCTTTATTGGTAATTGCCGCATTATCAACACTGTAATGTCATAGAGCAGTGTTTCCCAAACTTGACAATTTTAAGGCATGTGGACTTCAACTCCCAGAATTCCACAGCCAATGTTGCTGGCTGTGGAATTCTGGGAGTTGAAGTCCTCATGCCTTAAAATTGTCAAGTTTGGGAAACACTGTCATAGAGATTGAAACTCACTGTAAAAAAAGTTCAAATTCATCATCATTTGAGTCTACAGTTGGGGTGTAGATTTGCAGTATGGTGATGTTGAGTGGCTTGACTCAAATTTGGATAGATAAAAATATATAAAATATATAAAAATAAAAAATATAAAATATAGTAATATCTAATAGAGAATAATCAAAAACTGTAGAATACATGGAGAGTTGCAAAAGCTAACAAAGCAGAGGAAGCAAGAAGCCTCTTTTTTTGGGTTTATAGCCTCACATGCTTTTCTGGCTCCACAATCCTTATTGTAGCCTTGAGAATTTCCCTTTGTGTTGATTCCTACTTTTCTGTCATCCCTTGTATTCTAGTTCACTCACTTCACTGGTATGGGAAATATTTGAATCTGTGATGTAGCATTTTGTAATTGTTGTTTCATGCTGGTGGTTCTTGTTTATGAGGCTATAATCATGTTGGACCTAGATGAGAAGCAGCTTGCAGAATCACAGTGATTGGTGTTTTGTTAAAGGGATATCTGTCTCCTACTCATTTCCATTTATGGAAGGAGATTCATGCCTCATGCTTTCTGTATTTCTATATTTATTGAGTAGGAGTTCTTAACTGGAAATGAAACCTCAATCTTGGTGGAAAAAAAATGGCTTGGTGATTTTATTTACCATCTTTGCCTCCTACTTTAGCAAACCCAATAATCTTTGCAATCTTTAATTCTATATCTTTAGTGGAAGGCTAATTTTTATGTCCTCTGTTTACTTGTTGATGCACTGTTTACATCCTTGGTGAAAATGAGTGATTTTGAAATGGATATGGCAATGAGGGAGGCTTCCAGAGGGGAAATGATTGTAGTGATATGCAATTTTAATTAACATCACAGAAACTACCATTACAAAGTGGTTTAATTGTTAAGAGGTTTTAAGTGACTATATCCTAGTCATGGAACCCACCATAAGGGAAGCAATGGTAAACTGAATACCAAGCAATGCCCAGAATGTAGTGTGTTAGTTAAATGATAAGAAAGATAAGCACAGCCCTACAAGATTTCATTTCTATTTAACATTGCCACAGGAGCTTAGCACAGTCATATTTGAGTTAAAATAATACTTTTTAAAAATGATGGATACATGTATGAGGGAATTTGAGAAAGGGAGGTTGTTTCTTTTTGGAAGACCACAATTTATTTATTTTTTAAAAACTTTGATAAAAGGAATGCCATAGGTCAGGAAAGTTTTATCAAAGCTAAGAGATTCACAAGCATAGCTAACCAGTAATATTGGGGAGAACTAATTGAGAAAAGAAGGCTACTTAAGGAAATGACCAAATGTGATTCACAGATTTGCACTAAAGAAGTGCAAAATAACAAAGAATACAAAGTTAGTATAGAGATTCATATTGATAATAATTTTAAAATATCTATTTAGAGTGGTGAACACTAGGGAAATTAAAATGACTAGTAGTAGAAAACTGAATTAATTTCTGGTATCTATTTTCACTGTACAGGTAGAAGGGCAGATTTTCAGTGTCCAAAGTGATATTTTCAGGAAATGGGTCTGAGGGCTAAAGAAAGGCTGTTTAGGGCCTAGTAGAGAGCTGCATTACAGAGGAGGGACAAGAGGCAAAATGATGGCGATTTGATATTAACATGGTTAGAAATGGACACCTAGATTGGTCATTGCCATATTGACATTCCTGACTGGAGAAGAACTTGCCATTCAAGAGAGAAAACAGGATTCATGCTTTTGGATGCTTAGTTTTACATTCAGAATGAGAAGCAGCGCTTCATTTCTGCAAGTTCAAAAGCACCTCCCTTTCTCTAAAAAAGGATATATTATTCTCATTTTCCAGTTAGGAGACTCCTGCAGATGAGAGTTGATATTCTGACATACCTTGCTTCACATAAATAAATAAAAAGTTGTACACAAGGATAAGATGCAGAGTCTCAAAAGTCTGTAACATAATTCAAAATTATAAGGAGTTATAGATTTGCCTTGCTTAGTAGCTACCAGATTGGGACTCCAGAAATCTGGAAAAGCAGTAGATGGCAGCAAAGAGAAAAGCTGTATACCAAACAGAGAAAGTCTTGGTTAAAAAGAAAGAAAAAAAATACTTTGCCCAATATAATATGATACGAACAGAGAAATCATATCATTGCATTGTACATTATAGTTAATTTGTTGTTTTAATGCGCCATCACAAAATGTATACTCTGCCCCCTGATTATATAGATGCTTTTTTTTGTCAATTGCTTGTTTTCAACTTAAGTTTACTTAACATTTCACTGAAAAGAAATATACAAAGATACCCATTGAACTGGGGATTAATCACTATGGCAACTAAAATGTGGTGACTGAAAAGGGGATGTATTTACCCCTCAGCTTCCTGCCAGCTGTCATATTCAACTTTTGCGGCATGAATCCAGTCCAAAGTATAGACAGTGATCAGTGCTAAGAAACTATATCTGTATTTTTATAAATTGGTACAAGTATCACACTATAAAAGAAGACTTAATCCCTTGAATTGGATGACAGACACTTGGCACTCTTGACAAGGTTTGATAGAGAAATAACAGGCTGCTTTGTAGTAAAACCTGGATTAATGGTAAACCCCTCTTTATGTTATTGCAATGCGGAATAAACGAGAGAAAAACTCCCCTTTTTCTGTCTTAAGTACTCTGCAGAATACTGTACATTAAAAAAAATACGGTTATTAAGAACTTACTGTGGCTCTTCAGTTTTGTATTACAAAGGTATCTTTTATTGGTCATATAAACAAAAGGCTTTGTTAGCTGCATTAGGTTTGAGTACTGATCATTCTCCTGGAGTTGGGTTCAGCGAGAATGCTGAATATGGGAGAAGAACCTACCAATTTCCATTGAATTTTTGACCCACGCCAATGAAACAGTGTGATTTCAAAGAGAAAAAGAAGTAACCAGAAAAACTTCTCAAAAGTTCTTTTTTGTTATGTAAACTTGAGTTTTTCTGCCGTATATAATAAAATAATTATTATATCTATTAGATATAAGCAATAGGTATAATAATTGTTTCAGTTATTTTTAAACTGATTTCTTTCTTTTATTCAAAAAAAAAATATCTAAATCTCTTAGTTTAGATCTTGCTGAATAAAATTGCATATATTCAGCCCTCCAGTGTGGGAAGGCAAAGTATGTTGCAAGAGCCATCTATTAGGGATGCACATCTGGTGGAACAAGAAATAGGACCTTCTCTGTAGTGGCTCCCCTCCCCCTTTGGAATATTATTTCCCAGAAGATAAGATTGGTTCCCCCCCCCCATGATAGTTTTCTGGAAAGCCCTGAAGACATGGTTTGTCAGTGGGCTTGGGACCTCCAGGTGATCTGCAACCAATCAAATGGCTAGTGTAGGAGGGAGACTGGCAGAGCCAGGGGGAGGACTTAAATGAGGGATCATAGCTACAAGAGAATGAAGTTCAACCTCCCCTTGGATATCATCGACCCTTATCTAATTTTGTCCAGATTCTGGTGCATAGGCTTTAGCAATAAACTAATAATTTAAAACCTTTGTGTGTGGACCTGGTTTTTCATGCCTGACAATTGATGTGATTGTATGATTGTCATGCCGGGGATTGGAGGGTCTACATGGATTTTTACATTGTGAATTTTTAATGTAAGCCATCCAGAGTCGCTGTACATGAGTTGGGCAGCCATATAAAGTTATTTTATTGTTGGTTAGAGGAAAAGAATGAAGGATTAGGAATCGAATATGTATTAGCATAGCTAACCCGAGACAGGGGTTAAATTAACATATGTATGCAAAAGAAAATCAATAAAATCTCTATAAAAAAATAAAGTTGTTCAATAAATAAATAAATAAAAGAGTCAATTTTTCCATTACCATATATTCTCCATTTTTAATCTCCCAGTTTTGTATCGTTGGCCAGGTTTCTTTTTTCCAATATTATGTCAAGTGAATATTTGTCACTGTCAGCATACATTTCAATAAATTGTGGCACTCTTAATTTCTACTCTGGAATCATTACTATTAAAAACATTTGTGCTTTTAATTCAGATTTTATTTTCAAAACTCCCAGAACTTTTTGATGTGTTTCTTTTTCTTTGTTTTTTTCTTTTTCGCTTCAACACTTTGTTAGAGTAATGCTAGAAGAGTTTTGAATCAGTTCACTGTTTCTGTTTATAATAATTACAAATTTCAGTTTGTAACATTTTTCCAAAGAGGGCCAGGAAGGTGACTAAAGACATCTATTTATAGGAAAACTGTGGGGGGAAAGCCCAGAAAGTGATGTGAGAAAGGGATTGGATTTTCATTTAATTCTTAACATTGTATGCTACCTCCGTCACAGAAGTATAGAATTTTTTTAAACAGATAAAAGTATAGTTGAACTAAGGAGAAAGCGGGTGGACATGACAAGGAATTTTATTATCTCCTTAGCAGCCTCTGATTAAGGTGGATCTCCCAGAAAACTGGAGAAAGTCTAGCTCAGGGGTGTCAAACGGCCGGCCCTGAGGCCGGATGCGTCATAATGAAACCACGCCCACCCTATTGCCGGCAATGGCAAAAAAGTCGCGATACATCATGTGAGTTTGACACCCCTGGTCTAGACAAATGGATCAGAGTAATTTTCTTTCAGAAAAAAATTAAGTCTATCTATAATTTTGCATTAGATCTTGATTGATTTTTTGGTGTGGTGCTAATTAAGCTTTATTAACTCTTGTTCTTATTTACAAATTAAGATATTAAACTTGTAACTGAGCTTTGCTTTCCAGCCTTTAAGCTGAACTTAAAAACCACTCCTCTATTTATACTGTAATTTTCTTGATATGCCATCACTTCAGGATAAAAACATTGATATAGCAACAGCATCTTGTCATCTACCTGGATCCCTACATATATTTTTTGTATATCTTTTTAAAAAGTAGATTTCATATATCTTTTTTAAAAGTAAAATTTGATTTTGCTTATGTCTTGTGAGATTGATTTATTTCTTCAGGGCTGGTTGAAAACTCAAGTTACAAACATCAAGCTAAACAGCCAGGAGGTTGCATTATAGTAATTGTTCCAATTTTTTTACCTTCATTTTTACCTTTTAAAAACCGGAAAAATAAAGCAAATTGTAAGAGCCTGATCTCACACTGGGATTTGAGGGAAAATGCCAGGTGATATGTCCCTGGATGGTACGTGATGCCAGCAGAATTAGTCAAGTCAGAATCCCCAGGCAAGAGAAAAGGCTGGGGGCTTGTTGGAGAGTTAGTTTGAGATCTCCAGCCTTGTATACATGAGCTCAGCTGTTTTACTACAGTAAGATAAACATCTAGGAATTAATTTATACAAGTTTGGAAAGGCATTGACATTCAAGATGTCAAGCTCTCAAATAATTATACTTTAGCAAAGATTCAGACAGTTTGCACAATTGTTTTTTTTTTCTATTTTGAACCATCAGTGTTGCTGTGAAATTTGCTCATTTTCAAGCCCTGATTAAAAATAATGTCAACAAACATTTTCATTCTTATATGATAACATTTGAAAGTGTTTGAAAATGTGTTGAGCTTTACAGTATTTCTTGATAGGCATTTGTGAGAACTTTGCAGATGTTAGCTTCGTTGGCTGTCTTCCTTTGAATGTTTGGCAAATTCAAATGAATTTGGTATTCCTGCATAACAGACAGTTAGTGGGTTTGTTGAGCTAGCATGGTTTTTTTCCCCCTCCCTCTAAATACTACTTCAAGGATAATTTATGAATTCTTAAGCTTATTCTGCCATTAGTGTGTAATATATTTTGTTTACAATTTTATTATTTAACCTTTGGGCGGAAACTTAACAGTTAATTTTGAAAAAAGTCTTTCAAATACCAGCTTCGCAAGCACATTTAGCAATGTCTCCCCCTTTCAAATTACAGATCCCATCTGTAATAATTTATTTGTACTAAGAAGAACTGTATTAGTTTTAGCAACATTTCTATTCCCTTAAAGACAAGAAAGTTTGTGGGCTTCTAGTCTACTTACAAAACTTGGTTATTTTCCCCAAAAAATTAAAATGCTACTTTTCTGCTTAACAGATGTGTGGGTTGGTACTATTTAATGAATAAGGCAAATAAATGAACATTCTGAGGTTTTGAAATTCTTTTAAGAAAGACACGATTATTTAGTGTATTTGTTTTACATTAATTCAGCAATGGGATCTTAATATACTTTAAAATTCCTCAGTGACTTATCTAAACTATAGGAATGAGAGATTGCTATCCTAGGCGTATGTATTGCTCACTAATATCAGTTTGATCCATTGAAAATCAAGGTTATAGAATCAAGCAGGTATTCAGCATCTAAAGTAACCACATTAGTTAGGCTTTCCAATTGTATCAACTTGCTGTTTTTATAATCTTTCTTCTCCACCTCAGGAAAGGCATACTATCCTGGATGGACCAATGGACCAATAATTTGTTGTAAGACAGTTTCACATGAATTATTGTAATGATATAAGCCACTTTCAACTTCTCGGCAATAATAACTGAGATCAGAGTTCTAATATACTCACAGAAACTTCCTCGGGCATGTACTGTTGTTCCTCCACCGACTTTTGATAGATTTTAAATATATAAATATATTTATAATGGATTACTGGGCAGAATTCCAACCTCCTGCATTATCTTTATTTTTATTAAAGCCTTTAGATCCCAAATGGACCTGACTTGCTTTGTTTACAAATAAAAATTATACTATCCAGTGCTTTGTTTTTCCCATCTGTCTAGAAAAAGTATAAAGTTATATAGTAAAAGTATAAAGGTAAAAGTCATCCTGGATCAGGGAGTAGGACTAGAGATGGTAATAAATAGTATTTTGTCAGTGTCCCCCCCCCCATCTGCCTGTACTATGGAATAGCCCACCTCCTGTTCAGATCTGAATGACTCCTACCATCCTACCAGGCTATTGGGACTTGTCTGTTTCCCTTGATGGGAGGTGATCCCAGCACATGTACATGTGAGATAGGAATGTTATGTTGCCCTGTTCATATTAAACGGTGTGAGGTATTTTTTTTTCGTTTTGTTATTTGTCTGGCTAGGTTGAATTCTATGCCTATTTTTATGCAATTTATATTCAGATGCAGTTTTGATGACTCTTAATGTAAGATATGCAGCTTTCATTATTCTTCTAGCAGATAAAGAGAATATAAAAAACTAATCTTAAAAGCCAGAGAAAAAAGTGGAATAAGATGGATTGTAACATCAATAATATTAAAGTAATGACAGTGGTTTGAAATGGTGGCACCAAGATTGAATCAATACAGGACATTTTTCTTCCACTTCTAAATTAAATGAGGACTATTACTTGGGTGCATTGCAAAAACTAGCATGGAAAAGATCTGGAAAAGCAAGGACATTAAGGCATCAAGCTAGAAACAGGAGACTGTGAATTCTAGTCCTGCCTTAGGCATGAAAGCCAGCTGGGTAACTTTGGGCCAACGCTCTCAGTTCGCCTCAGAGGGTTATTGTTGTGGGGAAAATAGGAGGAAGAAGAAGTCTTAGGCATGTTCGCTGCCTTAAGTTATATGTAAAAATAATAAAGTTGGAATCAAAGTAAATAAAACCAACTAACTAAGAATAGCATATACTATTGTTTTTCCTGTAGCTGCTTATGGCATATATAATTTGATAATAAAAAAGATAGAAAAAGTGGACTCCATTAAATTATGAGTTGGGAGACAGCTATTGTAATATCAAGAAAAGCAAAAGTAACAAAAGAGGAAAGTTTAGAGGAAAGCCAGAAATCCTACTGCAAAGTAAGACTAATTCTAGTCTTACTTTGCAGTAGGTAATTCTATTTTTGATTATTATTTACTGTTTATATGCTTTATAGCTTGCAGAAAAAGATACAATTGAAATATAAACACTAGCGCACATAAACTAATTTCTCGAAAGTTACCTGTTTCTTTCTCTTTTCCTTGTATATGAGTGCAGGAAACAGCTCTGTTCAATTTCACTGCAAAGTAACCATTAAGAGCTCATCATTGATCGTGAGTGTTTTCCCCCAGAGTAGTTAAAGTTTAGGTGACATGTTAGCATTGATTAAAAATCAATTTCCCAATAGAAACATCAAGCAGTTGTTGGCAAATCCCATCATAATAATAAGGTCAAAATCATAAGATCAAAGTCATAATAAGGTCAAAATCTGTAAGAAAAAAGAAAACATGATATCAGAAATAATGCCAAATAAAATAACTATTAAAATGTTTTATTTTAAATTTGATTTAGAGAAGGAGACAGAGTCCTGAAGACATTTCATCAAGAAGAAAAAATGTGAAGCGGGATCATTTAACAAGTGAAAGCAACAGGCCTCCTCTCCTTTATATTACACATCCTGTACACCAGAAGCAGAAGGAGGTTCACCGGATAGGCTCAATTACCTTCCTGGTTGGAAAGACACCTAGAAAAATCCGCAGGTGAGATTACAGTGTTGGATTGTAAAGTTTTAAGTGACCTCAGGCTGAGTCCAGTTTAAATTTAAGAGTTTATTCTTTCAAGTTTTATTAGGAATTATTACTTACTATATTTTGTAAAACTGTTTAAAATATTCATCGTTACAATTTTGCAAATTAATACATACATTGCCAGTAATTTATATCAATTAATTTTTGGTGGTCATGCGTAGCATGCAAATGCAGTTGAAATTATTCTACCATAGTTTAATGTAACAAAATTTTGTCTTTACTGAATTTTTTCATTCCCTCACACGTTGTTAATGATATGAATGTATGGCTATGGCATTGTTTAGTATCTCTTCTCCATTGGTAATAGTTGCAAAGTCTTCTACCAGTAGTATATAGAAAAAAAATCCAGAGACTGAGTTGAGTGAAAAGCCTGTGTTCTAACTGAGGAATCACAGTATAGATACTTAATCATAAGTATTTCTATTTGATTTAACTATTGGAAAGTGACTTGTGAGAGAAAGCTAGGAAATGAGACCCCTCTGTTTCATTTATGTTGACCTCATGTAGATTTGTAAGAAATGTCTTATGATTAGATTAGATAACCTATATTGTCATTTTTTTTCTTGTGGATACAACGCCACATATTAAAAATGAAATTTAGTTGCTTGCTCTCAAAGTGTACACATACATAATACACATTTAAAACATAATATATACAACATATGTATAGACCTACATCCTTACTCATAAGTAACATATAAATATTAATCACTGTCCATCTTGAATACATAGCAGAAGTCTACATTGGCCAAGAGTGCCAGGTTTCATTTCAGAATCACTGCATTTTATTAGCCTGATCACTAATATCCTCTTTTCATAAGATGAATGATTCCTGAAAATCTCCAAAATGGTTAGGATAGAAAAAGAAGCAAAATGATAATTTAGGAATATTTTCTTTGATGTGGTCTCTGTAGATTTAGGTCAGTGGTTCTCAACCTGTGGGTCGGGACCCCATTTGGGGTCGAACGACCGTTTCACGGGGGTCGCCAAACAACGCAGTCCGCCATTTTTTTCCCCCTTTTCCTTAGCTACTCCCTTTTATTCTATTGGCTTTTGAAAGCCAATAGAATAGACTCTCTTGAATAGAGTCTAATTCTATTGGCTTTCAAAAGCCAATAGGAATTGTCCAGGCTGTCTCTGCCCTGCTGAGCCCGCCAAAAGTCCCACTCTGCAAACGGTGCTGCACCAGTTGAGTAGTCCTCGACTTATGACTGGTTGAGTAGTCCTCGACTTACAACCAGTTGGGGGTCGTGGCATTAAAAAGGTTGAGAACCACTGATTTAGGTTAATGTCATCCTACATGGGGTCTTTGTCATTTCAGAAATACAAATAAGGAGTGACCTTTAGAGGCTTTGTACTTTTCTTTAGCTTACCGTATCCACAAAACTAGATTGATGCTAGTCTCCAAAACTGAGGGAGATCCTCTTGGACCAATTATATTTTAAAAACAATTTGATTTGTGCAAATTAGGGCACAAATCATACTTTATTTACTATCAAATAAATATGGGACACAAATACCGCGAAATTTACTATAATTAATTTAGTGAAAGTAGAATTATTAAAGTTACAATCAGTATAAATAGTAATATAATAAAGATAGAAGGCAGGTAGAAGGGAGAAAGACATTTTACCAGATCAGAAGCTTTGATATGCTCTGTGAAACAAATTTCTTGTGGTTTGTGTTTGAAAAATTTGGCTTGTGTTTCCTTGGGAAAAGTTCCAGAGGTTCTCTTTACAGAAAGTTAGGGAGATTTTTCATGTATCTTAGTAAGAAGAAAGATTGTATATTAAGAGATGGATAAATAAGTTTAAACAAATAAGTCTTGGTATTTTTGTTCAGATTGTAGACCAGGGGTGTCAAACTCAATTTCATTGAGGGCCACATCAGCATTGCGGTTGCCCTCAGGGGGCCTGGTGGGTTTGGCCAGGGTGGGTGCGGCCTACTGGGTGGGCGTGGATGGAGTGAGTGTGGTCTATTAGGTGGCATGGCCAGCTCTACATCGTTCGCGCCAAGGGTGCCTGTGGGGGCCTGGGCAGGAGTGGGACAGATCTGAGGGTCTCTGGCAGAAGGGGGGTGGGACCAGGGCAAGTGCCAAGGCATGGTCCACCCAGCTCAGTCTCTCAGCACTGTGAGGAGAGCTCTCCACTGCCTGCCGAAACCCCTCCCCCAGAGCCCATCAAGCCGGATATGTGAAGTAGGCGAGGGCCATTTGCTGGCCACTTCCAGGCGATGGTGCATTTCTTCATTCCTCACAAAGAGTGACACCTCCCCAGCATGCACCCTGGGGGTGGGGCCGACACGGCAGGTGCTGGTTCCTCGCTGTTTCCAGATGGCCTTGTGGAGCTAAGACTGAATGCGTTTCAGCATAGATGGCCACCACAAAATTGTACATTGGCTCCCGGCCAGCCTGGGCCAGGGCCAAGGCAGAGGGGGCCGTTCCCTCACTGTTTCCAGGATGGCTTCGCGGGCCACATGAAACCACTTTGCGGGCCGCATCCAGCCCCGGGCCTTGTGTTTGACATGTCTGTTGTAGACTCTAATGATACGATACATATATTTATATTTTTAAAAAATCTCCATTTCTTCACAGTTCTTGTTTGAAAACTTTTTAAAGTTTTGAAATAGGAAAGAAAACTTTTTCCCCTCATCTCTTGGACAATCGCAGATCCCAAAAAATCATTATTTTTCAGGGGTTGAAAATTTCCGTTCATCATAAGAAAGTTATTTTCAAAAATTCCGCATCAGTTCAGATGCAACACCAAACCTCTGTGATCTGACAACATCACAAAATTCTCGTTGGATGATTCATAGTATAGTTCTAGCATTTTGCTTAAAATCGAGGCAGATGACCGTGTTTACCTATTTGCCAAATTCATTTCGGGTTGTTTTAGACCAGTGTTTCTCAACCTTGATAATTTTAAGGCATGTGGACTTCAACTCCCAGAAATCCACAGCCAGCAATGCTGGCTGTGGAATTCTGAGAGTTGAAGTCCCCATGCCTTAAAATTGTCAAAGTTGAGAAACACTGTTTTAGACAGTTTGCACAAACATTGCTTTAGATTCCAAACCCCAATCTGCAAAGTCTATGTTGGGTCCCAACCCATTTCATGTTTTGTTTTTATTTAAACAAAATTCCAATCCAACATTTGCTGTTTCTGGATTTCAAAGCACGATTTTTTAAAAAAATAATGATTTAATAGCCATTCATAAACCTTAGCTTAACATTTAATGATATATCTGAATTCTTACTGTAATAAGATTTGGGGGGGGGCAGAGGGAACCAGTTAGGAAAAGTCTTTCTCTTCCCTATTTAATATTAACAATTTCACTTGCATAATCTCACAAGCAGAATGATAAAAATAGTGAATGATAAATCAAGGAATTCAGTTCATGCTATTAGCTGTAGCTCAACCTTTTTCTCTTCCGAAATAACTCACTGACCTAAATCTAGTCATCAGCCTTTTTACTTTGTGACAATATTTCCACTACTTAGTCTTAACCTGGTTTTGAAAGAAGTGTCATTGATTAACCTTGATAATGGGTATTTGCTTTCCTGTTCTTTGAGAGAATTAACTATTCTTTTCACCTATTGCTGCAGGAAGCAGTTTGAGGAGATGGCAGATCTTTTTCATAAAGTTCCTGTGGAAGAATTTGCAAAGTACATCACTCAAACTACATCAGAAGAAAGGCAGAAAATGCTAAAAGAATTTTACAATGCAAAATATCCAGAGTTAAAAGATGTTTTAAAAGTTGATGTCCCAGATCCTGTTTCAGAAGGAAATGGAGAAGGCAGCAAATATAAAACCAAGTTCAGGAAAAAATCCTCCATTTGTAACCATGGGCAATTGAAGCCTGATCTTCCTATAAATCTGGGAGTTCCAGGTAGATCTGATGCTGAAGAAAAACAACTTCAGCATAAGCTTTCTGTACAGGCTCCTGGGGGTCAAAATGGGGAAGATAAACAATTGCCAGCTGATATTCTCGAAGACAGCATTAATGGGAGAAACAGTCAGGCATCCAAAGACTTTATGGCATCTGAGTCACTATCCAGTAAATCAAGAATAATTGAGGGGCTGTCTGCATGGAGTTCTAAAGGACAGCTGAATTTGAAGGGGACACTGTCACCCAAAAAACTTCTTATGTCTGACTCAGAAAGCAGACAGGCTGAAGTCTGCCAGAAAAAAGCTGTTGCAGACTTGCTAGGAGACACCTCCATTTTAAATGACCTCTTCACAAGTAATGAAAATAGTCCAGCCAAGATACCCAGGAGGCCTTTTAATGGGCCTGCCGAAAAAGCAGCAACTCGACAAAAAGATTTCTGGGACATGCTGAATGAAGAGAATGAGGAGTGTCTCCAAAGACTCACAGATGTGACAGCCATAGAGAAACTGTGTGAAAGAGCATCTTTCACTTATTTGTTCAAAGAGAAAGAAGAGAGTGAGAAATCCCTTTGGAAAGAAAATGACAATTTCTTATGGAAAATAGATAAGAAACCTGACACAGATGATGAATTTTTTTCTGGTATTTAATGTGGAATTTAAATATTGAGGGAAAAAATATTTTAAAAAATGTTTACAGATATCCTTGTGTTACATTTTATTCCCATAACTTACTTAATGCACTTGATTAATTTAAATTAAATCAGTGTTTCTCAACCTTGACAATTTTAAGGCATGTGGACTTCAACTCCCAGAATTCCACAGCCAGCAATGCTGGCTGTGGAATTCTGGGAGCTGAAGTCCAGATGCCTTAAAATTGTCAAGGTTGAGAAACACTGAGTTAAATTAAACAGTTTAACTCATTTCAAGCTTTTTTTAAAAAAAATAAAATAAAATTTCAAGGATATCTTCCTTTCAGAAATCTTACAAAGAATACATATTTATTTAATTTTGAGCTGTTTTCTATCTGTTTTAAGGAAGTTGCAAGAAAAGTAAAGGACAGGTCTTTAAAAAGAGTTGAAAAAAATTCAGAAACATTGAGTGAGGGCATTTTCTTCCCTGTTTTCTGTTTTCTCAATGGGGTCTGGAACAAGTACTGTACATTTGAAAAGCTGAACAGCCTTTCTGCTACCTTTGCAAGTTTGTCACTTGATCAGTCTGAAGGGAATCAATTTTATTTCAAATTCAAATTGGCAATCCAGTTTCAAAAGTTTATTCGATGTGAAGATTTTACCAATTTGCTTTGAAATTTCCCCTTGTCTGCAAAATATTATCCTTCCCTGTGGGAAAAAGCAGCATCTTGAGGTTAAGCAGAATCTCATTTCCTTTGCATGCAAGCTCTGAGGTCGACCACATTCCTCCCTTTCTACTTAAATAAGTTACATGTATTTTTATCATGTATTTAGTGTGGTCAGGGCACAACAGATTCGATAGTGTCATATAATGAAAAACTATACTTTTTAAAATTGTTCATGCTCTGGTGATGTTTGGATCATAGGGGTTTCTATTACATTTCTGAAGCAGTTGAAAACTCAATTGGGACTACATTGAAAAACAATATAGGCTTGGACTGAGAATAAAAGCAAAGTAATCTGTAAAAATCTGGAAATTGGGGGCATATGTACCAATTAAGGGCCTTTTCTGTGGTGGCTCCGACCTGGTGGAATCAACTACCCCCCGAGGTTCGAACTACTCCCACCCTGCCAGCCTTTAAGAAAGCCATTAAAACTCTCCTGTTCCAGCAGGCCTGGGGCTGATGTCCCCGGGGGAGGCCAGGATATGATCGGACACGCTGTATGAATGTATTTATTTTATTGTTTTATTGTCATATTATTGTTTTAATTTTGTACGCCGCCCTGAGTCCCTTGGGATTGGGCGGCATATAAATTTTAGAAATAAATAAATAAATAAATAAAGTCTTGCTTAGGATAGACTCATCAAAATAATGGAACCTTGACATTTAAATTCCAATTTTTCTGTAGGTCTTTCCCTGAGCATTATTAAATTTGGATACAACTCAAAAGTGTTTTGAAAGTACTCAGTGAATTAGAAGAGATAGTTGTACTCTACAACTTGTAAGACAGAGAAATTCCACTGCAATGATCTACATTGCAATATAGGACTGCAGTGCATGAATTAGTATTTTTACCTACTTAAAACTAAAATGACCTATCTATGAAATGTATGATAACATCCCGTTGTCAGTTTTTATTTAAAAAAATGAATTATGTTTTAATCAAATAAATTTAAAAGGCTTGCTTTTTAAAAAAGGAAGAATTTTAATGTCTGAAATTAATAATTAATTAATAATTATGTATGGGATATTTTCTTGGGCCATAAGAATTCTGGATGTTAGAATTTTACTCATCTTAAAAAGACAAATCTTTCATAATGTTCTACTATTCATCTGTTTTTTATTATTTGAAATCTGTGGTAATATAGGCTACAATGCCTCACCGAAATAAGTGAAAATCTCTCAGCCACCTTTGCTGAGTGGATTGTATCTTTTCACTTCAATACAGAATTTTTACAGTTCAGCAAAAATTACACTATGATATTGGCTATTTTACCTGTAAACAATTCTGTGTATATATACTTTAAATTATTTTAAACATTGCCTAACCAAAGCCGGTACCTATGTGATTGTGACAGATTATTAAAAGATGATTAAGAAACTTCAAGTTGAATAATATTATTGTAAGCCATCCATTTGAAAATAAAAATGTTTCTTGGTTAGAGCTTAAAGTGCAATTGTGTGTCCCCATGAAATCTCTAAAATGTTTGACTCTTCTTAAAGGGATATTCTTTCAATCTGCATGATAAAACTGTTTTAAAAATATCCCTTGCAATTTAAGTATAAACTAGATCAGTGGTTCTCAACCTGTGGGTCGGGACCCCATTTGGGGTCGAACGACCATTTCACGGGGGTCGCCAAACAATGCAGTCCGCCATTTTTTTCCCCTTTTCCTTAGCTGTGCTACTCCCTTTTATTCTATTGGCTTTTGAAAGCCAATAGAATAGACTCTCTTGAATAGAATCTAATTGTATTGGCTTTCAAAAGCCAATAGGAATTGTCCAGGCTGTCTCTGCCCTGCTGAGCCGCCAAAAGTCCCATTCTGCAAACGGTGCTGCAAGTTGTCTGCAGCGAAGGCGAGCTGTCTGGAAGTTTCCACCCCTCCCTGCTGAGCAACTACTAAAAATGTAAGTAAAAGAGGGCCAGGGGTGGGAGGTGGGAGGCCAGCAGGCGCAGGGAGGGTTGCTGGCGCGCATGGGGCCCAGCGGGTGCCTTACCTTTCTTGGGTTGGGCCAGCTGGTGGCCCAGCCGGTGGTCGGCCTGCTCCGTCTCTGCCGCTTGCCAGCTACACCTCGGCCGGCACAGGGGGCGGCACCACGCATGCACGGCACTCCAGGGCAGGGAAAGTCCTCGACTTACAACCGGTTGGATAGTCCTTGACTTACGACCAGTTTAGTCCTCGACTTACGACTGGTTGTTTAGTCCTCGACTTATGACCGGTTGGGGGTCGCGGCATTAAAAGAGTTGAGAACCACTGAACTAGATAAACTGGTGACCCCCTGGGCCATCCTTTAAGATATTTCCTTACCAGGTTCCTCAATGCCTTCAACAATGACAGACCTTTTAATGTATTGCCTTCACTAGCAAAATTGGGATATATTCAGAAATGTATGTCTAGAAAATACATTGAACTGTATAACCTGATTAGATATCAGCACAAAAAAAGTTTTATGGATATTTTGCATTATGTCATAAACCATTTTATAATAATGTATAATGTCATAAAATGTTTTATAAAATTTGCCAAATTTCAATACCACAGGAGTTATGGGTCCCACATTTTGGACACATTCTCTATATTAGCCAGTTAGAGGTACCTTGGTTAAAAAATTGTTGCCCTATGATGCACCGTTTTACCAAGTTAAAGCTTAGGGGAATGAGAGTTTTACTAGTATATAGATAGATAGGTTTCCTTTGGGAAAATAAATTGTATTAAATTACATAAACATTGAAAGAAAGTACATTAAAATACAGTGGAATAATCAAATTAAATAACTGCTTCAGGAACTGGCAGTCCTAGAGGCAACTCTGCATGAGATCTTGCAGATTGCTGAAATCTCTGCAGAAAAAGTTGAAATCGGACCTTGCATGGGATTGTATGATAACAATACTAGAAATAAGCAAGTAATAGGAAGAACGAAACAACAATTCTCATTCACCAAAGTTGAATAGTCATGTGAGGAAGGAAATGGTTACTTCTTTTCCTTACTGAAAATCAACTTCAATTGCTCATAAAACGCTACACCTTGCAAAACACAGGCAGTGTGTAAGCAGCATTAGGCACTGTTTCTCCAAGCACACCCTCAGTGAAATAACAGTCATAGCCCTTATGTTCTTTTCCTTCCAACTTGATGCTTGTGTATCCATCCACACACATTTACAATTTCCTCCATTCAGTAGCAATTTTCTTTGCAGTGAGGGTCAGAGAGCATTGATGTTGTCCAGGCATGATAAATGATGGTATGTTACAAACACGCATTCACACACAAAACAAACACTCAGGTTTCAGACTGGAACTATTAAGACTATTCAGCATATCAAAATTCTAAGGGTGCTGAGAAAGGCACCACATTTTAAAGAAATGCTTTAATAAAGACATGAAGTGTACTTTACCAGATCATTTAAGGCTCCATTTGGCTTGTGTGAACCTGTTAATGCAATCAATACTGGAGCAAGACAAGAATTTTTAATCCAAAATTGTGCTGGGACTAGTGTAACTATATGAACTTAACCCAATGAAAGATAGAGTTCTGTAATGCTTAGGCCTTGGTCAATCCTCTGAAGCAATGAGATGAAGGTGAACAGCAGATTAGGAGCACAAGGAGCTATTTTCAAAAAGGCACCGCCAATTCTTGAGAATCATAGTGTGCTTCCAAATACTTATCCAATGTAGGACCTAAGCCACTTCCAGCGCTGCCTACCTGCCCAGTGGGGGAAGGGGCATCAATACAATGAAGCCTTGCCAATTCTTTTTTGGTTCAAGAACTTGTGAAATACCAGACAACACTTTCCCCAGTTAGTTCGATGTGTGCTATCATATCCTAAAGTCAAAAACATACTATTTGGTTATTGCCTGAACAAGTTAAGCATGTTATATGAATCATGTGTAGGTGTTTGAAAAGTGGAATTAAAATACAGCAAATAAATAAATGGGGTTCCAGAAAAAGAAAGAATGGTGGATCTGACTTATCTTTGTTCTGACCCACCACCATTTGTTTCAGTCCTGCATATCCCCAAAATGTGAGATTATCCCTAACAGTCCACAACTGTTCTAATTTAACTGGTAGCAAATGAGATGGATCATAGATTGACTATAGAGCAGATGCTGAAGTCTGATCTCAATATTAAAAGGATTAGATAATTTGATATTGAGAAGTCTGAATATTGGGATAGCTCCTGCCACTTAGAATAAGCAATACTGAGTTGGTGGTCTAATAAACTAATCCAGAGTAAGACAGCTGGAATCTTGTTTTCTTACAGAACTATCCATTTTTTCCCCAACTTTACAATATGACAGAGAAAGGAGTTTTGGGGAGGGAGGAACGGAGTCATAGAATAGTTAACATTTCCAGACGCTCAAATTCTATTTCCCAGTCCTTCTGAATCCACTATAAAAACATCTGAAATTGAGCCAAACAGCATTACCATTTTCAGAACTATTCAGACATAAGAATGCCATAAAGAATGGGCAACTTAGTTTGTAGAACTTGCAGAGAAACACCAGCCAATCAATGCAGGCAATTTTTGGCCAGTCAGGGAACAATTAGTGCCTGCTTGCTGGCCAGTGCGTACAAACTCAGCAGCAGCCTGCCTCTGTACATGAACCAAAGAAGATAAGGTAGTAGCCTCTCAACTTGCTTTTGTGCTTGCCATAGTCACAAGATGGCAGTTGCCTCCAAAACTCTTCACATTGGTAGTTCAGCATCTG